TTTAACACAAACAGCTCATTCTTTGCCCATCTGCGTAATGTTTGACTCACTGGTGCGTTACCCAGCGTGGTCGCTCCTCTTTTTCTCCTCATTGAGCCGGATTGTATCTGTCTCTCCTAACTTGACCTGCCTTCTTCAAGTATTTCTCCTGCGGTTTTCCTGTATGAATTCAGCTTTATAATAATCACTTATTCATATTAAAACTGAGAAATGAAAATAAATCTACAAACATATTAGGCAGTGCTTTGATAGGAAGGCATTCTCTGCTATTCTTCTTAATCCAACAATGGGAAGAAGGTCTCAGGCAGGTCTCTTTAGTGGTGTGTTTCTCTGTCATGTTGGTCAGAATACAGAACAAATTCAGCCATTACTACTTTTTCCCATACTCACTTATTATGATATAATCCATCATTTGTCCTTGCATGCAATTTCTTAGTCATCATTTTTTAAAACTTTTTATGCTCATTGGAAGCTACCGCTGGCGACGAGGTAAACCGTTTGGTTATGAGAGCAGCATTCCTTCAGGAGCCGAAGGATATTCTAAACTCACTGATTCTCTGTGAGGATGAGGCCTCTGACGGTGGTTCCAATAGAAGGAGGAGGTTTTTCAGGATAAAACGGCTCATTCTTAGAAAACAGAAGCCTGAAGCATTTCTTGTCATAAGCACTGATTTCATAGAAGATTTCAGGAATTGTTACGTGTTTTGGAGCTTGAGAAAATTTGCCTCCTAGTGGAGCATCGAGAAAATTCTGAATGGATATCTTCAGGAATAATATGAAACGCTGGTTCTGATATAAAGAGCACAGTAAGGGCCTGGGTCCACCTGGTGTTTATTTTCGAGCAGAGCAGTGCTAGCTGTGCGCTCTGGATTGCTTGGATGAAGCGTATGAGCGCTGAGGAATAAAAACGCTACACGTGCCTCTTTTCCAACAGCCACTGTATGAGCCACACTGCTCCATATGTTTGTCTGTCTGTATGTTTTCTTTTTGAGATTGTTTTTCACTAGGAGCATCAAGCGGAGAGGATGCTTGCTCTCCTACTTTGTCTGGATAATGATCTTTAATAGCTGAATAATAATGACGCCCCCCTATCACCCCTCCAACCAGTAGGATGTGGGTACACGACACCATGTGATTGGCTCGTTGTAAAGAGCGCCTGTGACATGAACGGCGCCATTCTGAATAGTTGAAAACATTTCAACTAGAAGTGCTGGAGCGGTCGCACAGAAAAGGCGGAGCGCTCAGAAAAAGGACGCTGGGCACTGAGCCTTTTCTCAGGCAGGCCGCCTGCTGCTGTGAACGCTCTATCCTCCCTGGGAACATTTGAAAAAAAAGAAGCTGGCACACTGACCACAAGATGTAAGCCTGTGTCAGTGATGCTTTATTTTTCTTTGACCTCCAGATGACTCCCTCTTGCTGCATTTCCTAAGAATCATCTAGAAACTGTTTCCTGTTTCACCTGCAGTTGGCTGCAGTGATGGGAACATATGCGTGTTTCATCCACCATGGCAGGCTTCCACCGAACCCTGGGTGGAGCCTGCTTTCAATTTGTGGTTTATCTCTAAACATTTTTTGCCCTTGCCTGAAACCCAGCGGTGGATTTTCTGGCTGTCTTTCTAAACATTTTTTTTTTATCAGCATACTAGTTCCCCCTCATTCTTCTTCTTCCTGCCCCCCCCTGCTGTGCCCATCTTTTCCTCAGTCCTCTGAGTCACAAGACTGCAGATAATATTGCAATGTGTATTACCAAAACCAAGCTTTCTTCTTCCTCCTTCCTTTACGTCAATCACCTTAGCACCGAATATTGATCTTTGAGATGAGCTGTTCTCCATTTCCTTTGAAATCAACTCAAAGGGAAGCATTATTTGATTGAAAGAACTGAATGATTGATTACATTAAAGTAGCTCAGTTATATTTTGTTCTTATGCAGGACTGAAATAATTGGCAAGTAAGTCAACGCTGACATTATTCACACAACAGTGCACCTAAACCTCGGATAACTGGAGTGCTTTAATCAGTGATGCCTTGAGCAGGTAGCCAGTCTGTGCTCAAAACTACAGTTAATGATTTCAAACCTGTATGTGCTGGCAGGGGAATTGGTGTGAAATCTGCTGGCTAAACAGTATAGAAACATTCTTAACCACTACATCTATTTTAATCCAAGTGCTTGAATTAGACACGGGTACATTAACACTGTGCATGCATGATTGTAGATGTTTAGTTTCCTGCTGGGCTCCAATGTAAAGCTCAGTCGCTATGAAAGAAACCCCTTGTGCTGTTTGTCGCTCCAGCAGTCCGTAGCGTCACCGCCCACTACAGCGCATGTTGTCCTGCAGATGGATTATAAGGTTACATAACAAGACACTAAGGAATAGAGTATTTATTTTCGCCCTGGTACAGGATTATCAGCCGCACACAGAGATGTTGGATGAATGATGACAGCAACACAACAAACGTGATTTCTTTTTTTTTTTTTTCAGGAGTTTATCTAAATGAGTGTGCAGCCTCTTTTGACACAAATGATAAAACTGTAGTACACTGAAGGACTTCCTCTACCTTAAAGTTAAGACCAGACAGTGAGGCATCTCAAACAGATTAATTGTAAAAACAATCTGTCAAAAAGGTCTCAGTGAGTTTAACCAAACATGAGTGTGGTACATAAACGCTTGATATTATGTCAGAGGTGTAATGATTTTTCGTCTCGGCTGCTGGGCCCAAACACTCTCGGTAAACTCCCTTGCTTTCTGTTCCCTGCGGTCCCATAGACCTCAGACAGGTGCTTCTCCCTGGCACCTCACCCAGCTTTGGCAGCCATGCCCATCAACAGCAGTCTCGCCCTCATCATGTTTTATTAGGACACCTCCCTTTCTAAACACTGTCCTGCATTCCTTTCTGTGTAAGAACATACAGTACAGTCAGCTTATTATTTAATAAGTTCATTTCTTTATAGCTTTAATGTGTTTGTTGTTGTTACCACAGGTATGGTGTGTAGCAATGTGGTTTTTAAATAGCAGAAAATAATATGTGCTGACAACAACTAGTTTGTTTTTAAATTATTATTTAAGATCTTCCTGAATTGAAAGAAGGGACATTTTGTTCAGAGATCATTTTGTTCAGTGATTAAGAAAGTGCAGATCGCTCGTTTATTGCACACTGTTTCCTGTTTTTTGCTGTCAAAACAATGGAACCTGTCGCACGTTGCAAACTCTGAGAAACTAAGTCCACCATTAAAACAAATATACATCAGTTAGCCATTACCGTCAGGGATCTCTACTTTCAATCCTTTTCAAATACAGCAGCTGTGAACTGACACAACTCTTGTGTGATATTATAGAAAACTAATATTTAAACTCTGCAATACATTCAACCCAACTTTATTTAAAAAACACCCTTGATGCAAACATGCAGCCCAAAGTAGGAACATAGGAACAGACTGATGGTCATTAGAAAAAACACTGAAAAGGATCGGTTTGAGATAAAATAAGAGAGGCATAAAAATCAGCAAAAAGTATCAAAATAGAGACGTAAAAAATACCAGCGATATTGTATTGTAAAAACAGTATATACACTTAGATTAAGACTATAAAAAGTTTACAAATGAGTCCAGAGAGATGAAAAAGAGAGGTCCCTTTTGCTTTGAAAATACAGATAGACATTTAGATATCCAGAGCGGTACAAAACCAGTGATATTTAAAGCTGCAGTATTTTTAGTCCTGCAGGCTGAGCTGTAGTGGGTTTAAGCACTAAAATATAAATATCCAAAGCATTGAAAGATGCTGAACAATGTGTGTTTGGTATCAGTGTCAAATGATCCAAATAACAGAGTTGTTGTGATGAATGAAATCTGATAATTATGACTAAAAGGTCCATCCAGATAAGAAGAAGAGAAGTTATTTCTGTTTTTTTTTTCTTCTGATCCAATATTTGACATTTTGACAGGCGTTGTAATGGCTGTAAAATATACGTGTTTGACAAAGTGAATTTCAGATTAGAGCTATGGGTGCTTTATGGAATAGAAAACTTTGTCATGCTGAATCTCATGAAAGAAAATGAAAGTTCATTTCATTTGAAACTCGATACTTCAGTGACCTTCTCGTCTTTAAGTGATGACTTTCGCACAGAGTGTTGGTCAAAGTTGAAGGCTTCATAGAAACAGTCAAAAGTATTTTAGGGAGATTTTTAATTTCTTTTAATTAATTTAGTTACTAATCAACTAAACCATTTTGTGTTAAAAGGCCTCTGATGACTGACGGCTCGTCTCAGTTGGTTGGAATCTTTTTCAAGTGCTGCTATCCAGAATTCACATTCAGTGTTTTAAAGCTCTTATCTTTCCTGCCTCTCCGAGCTCTGACGAAAAACGTTCTTCTCTCCTCTGTTTTTAAAGGGTTTTCCAGGTCGCCTGTCCCGTGTATCATTTTTAAGCTCATTGTGCTTTCACACAGCCGACACATCTGAGAGATGAGGTTAGATTAAGCCATCAGAACACCCCGCACTGAAAGAGCAGCGTTGTTCAGTATTCTTGAGGAACAGCAGTGTTCGAAATCTCCTCAGCTTGTGGGTAATAATCACGCTGTGTGGAAGAACACTGTGGCCTAATTTCACTTCAGGTTTGTGTATAGGACCTGTCATCTTGTCTGCTCATGTGATATGAGTTTGTAGTCCAGAGTTGTTTATCTAGCTCACCCAGAGGTGCTCCAGAACTGGATCAGTTCTATTAGGATATGCCATTTATTTTTGGAGCAGCAGGGACAGAGAAAACAAAGCTGTTGCCTGTTTGTGAGACAGAACACAATGTTGGCAGTCAAAATAAAAAGCAGAAGAAGACTCACCAAAAAGTTTGACTGCCCTTCCTAAAGCTAGGAAGTTAGCTAGTTAATATAGCTCATTCACCATACTTGGAAAAAAACCCATAATTGAACTATTTTAGCATAATTTGAAAGCCGGGGGTTTCTAATTTATTTGCATGATCTCTAACGTCCCCTATTTCTGTTCTGCTGCAGGTAATCGACTCGCTGGGTATCATGATCTATAAAGCGCTAGACTACGGCCTCAAAGAAAACGAGGAGCGCGAACTCAGCCCTCCGCTGGAGCGCCTGATCGACATGATGACCAACATCCAGGAATCGGAGAGTGACTCGTGTCCCGACGAGGGCTATGAAGCCACAGAGGAGGAGGACGAGTGTGAGGAGGAAGGAGAGGAGGAAGAGGAGCTCGTCTGCACTCCCGGCACCTGTTCAGTCACAAGCATCCGCTGCTATCGAGACATCGTCATGGTGGGTCGCTGGAAAACAAAATACACATTATATACATAAACATACACTTACCTGGCACCAACTAATCTCAGGGTAGCTGATGGCTAACTTCAGCTTCATCTGGCTGTATAAACATGGTGTAAACGCATGGACATTATACACAGGCCTCCATCCAGTAGGTCAAATATAAACATGCTGAGCGAAAGCTTGTTTACATGGAATCATTTTTCTTCTTGTTTACTGTGAACGCCCACATCACGACAATGCTGAAATTGCAATTAATTGTGCAGTGCTGATGAAGCCTTTTATATTTGCACAATCTCCTTTTTTAGCTCAGACATTTTGAAGTCAGGTCTGTTAACAGGCGCTGCATCAACAAACCATTATCACTCTCCAGCTCTAAATGTATTCCTCTGATGGGGGGGGTGTCACTCTGCAAATTCCCCAAATACTCTCTGAACATGAAGTCTTTAATTATAGCTGTGTAAACATGTTGGTATCTGAGGAATAGGCTTAGAAACTTTCTCAGCCTGTTCCTTCCCTATAATGAAGCGGGTGAAGAACACAAATGTTAGGTCTGTTAAATGCTGTGTGCGTCTGGCCTTAGCCCCTCATTCCTCCAAACAATCACTCTCCTGAGTGTAAAATGCTGTCATGACACGGCTACTGCTTGTTCCTGACTGACCTTCTTTCCTTTCCTTGTACTCTGGTGGTCCATCATACAGACATAGGTGGGTTTGGTTAGGGTTCAGTGACACATTAAGCTGACAATAGGTGACAGAACTTGCCAGTGAAGCAGCCAAATAAAACCGGGATAGTTAGGCAGTGGATGTCCTGAATCGGTTTTGTCACGCTTTAGCGAAATAGAGCGAGCTGAGGAGTTTCTCCATTGTTGTCGAGTCTCTTTGATGATAATTGTTGTTCATTAAATCATCAAATGGTTTCACACTAAAGAGGCCATCAATTAAACAGCAAATCATCAACCCAACATACTTCTGTATATTCTCAGTTAAGCTACAGATGTTTTTTATACATTCAAGCTAAAGCAGTGGGGGGGGGGAAAAACGGACTCAGCTGGATTTGAAGCATGATAGTAAACACTCACTGCTCAGGTGTCTTCTTACCTGTGAAATTCCCCTTCAGTGAATGAGGAAGCGTTCTGCTGAGTCAAACATTCCTGTGGCGATCCACACCTTTTTACATGAGAACACTGAAAATATGTAATCGGTCTGGTTTTCTCCTTTGTGTCCCTGGAGATAATTTGACTGCGATTGTGACGATATAAAAAGGGCTGCTTGGTGGAGTAATGCATGAGCTGTCAAAATACCTCATGGGTCAGAGCTTTAAATGGTGTGATGGTGATGTGATGATGGTGTATGTCAGGGTATGTTGCTCAGACAGGATCATCCGGTTCACGCTGTTGAAAGGCAGAGTTTGAATCGCACTCACGATTTCACCAGCTTCGACCAAATAACTCCGAAACAAAATTACATTCCCATCAGCCTCAGCTGGACTTGTGTGCGGTTCTTATTGGGAAACGTTAGCATGTGTGGTATATCTTTCGAACCTGTGTGACCCTAGTATTTAAAAAAAAAAAAAAAAATTAGCTTTAGAATTTCCTGGGGGTGAAATTCCCCCAGGTGGCGTTGTCGCAATCAATGACTCTACCGCTCCTGCTACACATGCTAGTGCCAAAACAGTAAGAAGGGGAACATGATGAAGAGTACACTTACCCAGCAGTATCATGTAGCAGTGAAGTTAGCATGAAGCATGGCTGTGCCTGAGCTGTAGACTCCTTGTACACTGTGTGGATTGAGTCATTCAGTGATTTTAACAGATTAAAAAAGAAAGCCTACAGTATCAATGTACATGGCTATCAGGTGATGTGTATTTATAAAACTGTTGTAGACATGTGGGGATGAGATCTGACATTTCATCATGACTCATTTTTCTTCATAACAGATCTTTTGAAGGAGGACTCGCTTGCAACCTTAAGACTATTTTCCCACTTCTTCTGTTGCTTTAAGATGTGTCATCATATCCTGTTATACATCTAAAAAAAAAATCTGTAACGAATGCTCCTATATATATATATATATATATATATATATTTATATTTATATTTAACCCATTCCTCTTTTGTTTTCTCCTGCACAGCTATGTTCTTCACACCTCCCCAGCCCATCAGACGCCCCCAACCACTACCAGGCTGTGTGTCGTGCTCTCTATGCAGAGACGAAGGAGCTAAACACCTTCCTGGAGAAGATCAAGAGTGCCAAAGAGGTAAGAAACTTCAGCATGCGACATCTGTGAGCTAATGAGAAATCTGGTGAGGGTAAGTCACGGTCAATCTGAAACACAAACAACACCATCTGCTCATCCACTTTCCCAGAAGTCATGAATCGAACTCCAAACATCTGACTCATTAACATACCCCAAATTTATATCGGAAACAGAAAGTGACAATGGTGTTACGAGAAACAGAGAAGATGAAAGAAAGAGCCACACTCTCCTGATCCTGGGGTTTACCACTCTGCTTTGATATGAAGATGAACTGCGAGTGAAGGAGGATCTGTTAAGCCTGCAGGCTGGGAATGGAAACACCTCGGTGGTGTCCAGAAACACAACAATAGCAATTAAACAGTCCTCAAAGTGCCAATGGTCTGGAAGGATTGAGACTCTGTGTGTTTGTGTGTGTCCCCGACTGACCTCCCTGTCACAGCGATTGAGATCTCAACATTGCTTTCAACAAGCGCATGACTTAACTGAGCACGTGGACGTGATCTGGCATCCTGTTTTCATCTCAGTTTATTAGCTTATTGGAAGATTTATTTCTCTGAGTGGATTGCTGTTGCTCGAGTAATCGAGTATGATTAATGAGGGGTTCCCTTAAGAGCCTGTGTTTCTTACAGGGCGCATGTTTTAGACTATTAACGTGCTGTTAATCAAGATGTGCTTTAGTTTATTAAGTCACTCATGAAATACTGTGATTCAGTTTTCCATGATTTTTTTTTTTTTTTCATGCTCCGTGTGAGCAGACCTAGATATTACAATTAAATTTGTAGTGTTAAAGAAATGTGATTATTTTGTCAGGAGGTGAGAAGAGCTATATTCGATGCAAGACTGTGCTTTTTTATCTTTTAAACATGTAAGGTTTTATGCCCTTTTTATTGATGGGACCGCAGAGAGGGGCAGAACGTGACATCTGTGATCTGTGGGGGAAATAATGCAGCAAATATCGAGGGATGTAGCCTCAGCACAAGGCACTCACAATCAAACCACTCAGCTAAACTCAGCTAAGCTTCTGATGTACGTCGCTTTGGATAAAAGCGTCTGCTAAGGGAATCGTAGAATTGTAAACCATTTTGATATTATGCATGTTATACTTTAAGTTTTGCACTGATTTGATTGGACAGCCTCGATGTAAGGAATATTTGTTAGGTGAAGGTGTTTCTTCTGGAATTGTTCAGTGTTGAAATCACCAGACAGACCGTGATTATCTATGAATTTATCCGCCCGTGGTCAGAACAGCAAAGTTTTCATGGGAACAGACCTGCTTATATTCTGTTAGCAGGTACAGCCTACAAATACCTTTTTTCTATTTTGGTATCCTTCTCAAAGGCTAGACAGAAGACCGACACTAGCTTCAATTGAAACTATCAGCCTCTGCAAATCATATTTCCTTTTCAGCTCACTACATAAACGTGGCTCCTGTCCAAATATAGGTCTCCTGCTATGAGAGTCTCCGGAGCAGTCCTCCCGAAATTATCTAGATATTTTCCAGAGTGCAATATGGGAAACCGGCTTTACACACATTTTGCAGCTACACAGACCTAGAAGAACCCTAGATTGGAGACAGTAATTTTGTGGATATGTTGTTTTAAATCGAAGATGAATGAATACATGAAAACTCATGCTAACATTAATGTACAGTGATCAGGTTATTATAGCAAAGTTGAACTCTGACTGGGTGGAGCAGGAGACAGGTGAGGACTTGTCTCCTGCTTAATAAACAACTAACTCAAAGTGAGTAAAATTAAGAAATGAACATGACATGAAATTCATGTGTTGATTTGAAAAAGTCATTTTCTTCTGCACAGAAATTCCCTTTTCAACCTGCGTCCATAAACAAGAATGGCCTCTCTAGCTTTCCGCTTAGCTGTTGTTACTCTCTGTCTTAATTTTCATTTCTTCATTTTGGCCTCAATGTCCACAACTGACACAATACTACAAACAGGTTGACATAAGAATGGACCAGTTTTCTAGGCAGATTGATACAGACTCCAGTCTGAAGGTGGTGAGGAAATAATTGCCCCACCCAGCTCAGGAATTCCTGATGGACATCAAATGAAAAGCTTGTTCACAAACTCGTTCATGTTTGTGCTCCCTGATTGAATTGAGGTTCAGAAGAGATGTTAGCACATGACTTGTCAGAGGGCTTCAGTGTACAGTACGGTGCCTACTGTGACTTCTACAGGAGAGATGATTCATACAAACAGTGTTATGTAATATCTGGTTATAGAATCAAGTTTAACCTTATTACAGCAATTTAAGAAGCTTACGGGGGGCTGCTTTAGGGGCCACTTTGTACTTCCTCCAGCACTCTTAGGATAACTGCTAATGAGTGACCATACACAGTAAAACATCAGCTTTCAAATTATGAAGGCGGTCATAAGTCTTTCTTTGAGTTGATGATTTCCTTTTTTTCCATGTCGTTGTCTTATCAGCTTCCTCTCGAAGGATTTCTTACAGTCTGTTCTGCCAGTCTAGAAATAAACTGACTGTCACTTGATGTGAAAGGTGTTAATTGGTGTCATGGTTTAAAGAAAAAAGAAGTGGTAGGAAGAAGGAAAGGAGGGGTGTGGAGGGTGTGAGAGCAGCAGAGTACCCGCTCACAATATCTTTCTGAGCTTAATGAAAGGAATTTCACATATTGATTATGCCAACAAGGACAGATGTTTAATGTCATGTGTCTTATAAGCGGATACTGGATTCCTGATTTTCTCTCAGGATCAATGAAGCATCCATTCCCCTACCCACCTGTGCTGTAAATACAGACCTACAGCAGCTAAATATCACAACTTGAGAAATATTTTTTTAATGTCTTTATTAATGTTTCTCCTTTTTTTTTTTTTGTCTAGAACCTTCGGAAAATGGAGGGTGGTACTCGGGAGGAACCCGATCGAGACCTCGATGAGCTTCAAAACGCAGACTGGGTAAGACGATTTTCTACTTACTGCACCAAGCACCTTAAGGTTGAACTCTATGACCATGTGTCTGCTGATTGATAAGTGTGCCAGTGTGTTCACAGATTATAACTAATCCCATCATTTCTGTTTATTTCGTTTGTTTACATGCCTCCACCAGGCACGGTTCTGGGTGCAGGTGATGCGAGATCTACGCGATGGAGTGAAGCTGAAGAAGGTTCAGGAGCGCCAGTACAACCCTCTACCCATTGAATACCAGCTCACACCGTATGAGATGCTGATGGACGACATCCGCTCCAAACGCTACAAACTGAGAAAAGTAATGGTGTGTGTGAAACCACATGAACTTTTTCTCACCGTTTTGCAAATTCCTCGTTTATCTGTATCATTGTAGCATCCCATCAGCTCCCATCTTCTCGGCACAGTTTGAATTAAAATCTGGATTCTCAATAAGCTGAACAATGTATTTCCAGGTGAATGGAGACATCCCGCCGAGGTTAAAGAAGAGCGCACATGACATCATACTAGAATTCATCAGGTCACGACCACCCCTCAACCCTGTGAGTAATGCACAACATGCTGTCACAAGATGCTTTCTTACTGCTCTGGAATTGAACTTTTAATGCATCATTTGTATGGCAGTTAAATCAGTTAAAACGGTAAGTATAATCAGCCAAATCTCATTGAATCACTGATGATAATTACCATCTAAATCATCTTTTGTGAGTCAGTTTTTATTCTTGTTCATTGGCATAACAGTAAATGCCTCATGCCTGGGTGTGAATGAAGAGAAACTTGAAGTCACATGCATCTAAGTCTCACATTTAGTCACCAACATGTGATGATGAACACAAGAGTTCAACGACATGCATTAAGAGATGGGCACATTTAGGGAGGGGAGGGGAGGGGGGGGAACTTGATGGGGAAAATATCACTTTGTGTCTCCATGGTGATGGCAGTCTAGGGGGCTCACATGTGCGGTTTGTCATGACAGGTCGCTGCCCGCAAATTGAAACCCCACCCGACACGTCCCCCGAGCCTCCACGAGCGACTGCTGGAGGGCATTAAAGCAGAGAGGAAGCTCCGGCCCGTCTCACCGGACATGATCCGCAGGACGCGCTTAGGTGAGCAGCGGAAGGTTGCACCCGTGAACGTACAATGTTGTATGTTCATGTTGCACACACAGTCAAAACTTCTTGGTGGTATTTCTACTCAAACTACACTTTTCTGAAGTAATGCTGTTTTTTGTTGTTGTTTCTAATCGTTTAAAGCATGGCTGTGAAGTGACTGCATGAGACTAACCTTGTCCTCTCAGGACAAAAACCATTAACCATGGCTGAACCATTCGTAACTTCATCCGTCATGGTTACTCTTAACAGGCCTCTTCTCACATCGATCCATTCACTTCATCAGAAGTGTCACAGTGTTTAAACAAGGATCACGTCCACTGCAGCCGAGAGCCTTTAGCTGCTGTTTGACAGAAACTTGTGATTTACATTTGGTATTCTTATTCATTTTTATTTTAGTTGAGTATTTACTTAAATAACAGTGAGCTGCAAACAGGAAGTAGATAAACCTTTTGGCAGGCTGTTGTAATATTTAACATGTTTAGCTCTGTTTAAGGCTTTATGGTGCGTTCCATTTGATCTCGGGAGTCGGAAATTCTGAGTTACTGGTCTGATACGTCATCAGGAACACCCTGACTCTGAAACTCAGAGCAACTTCAGTAGTCAGAGGTGAAATACAACATGGCTGCTACATGCATTAAAAGTAACATGTAAGCTGTAACTATTGGGTTTATTAGCAGCTTAGTTTCACTTCGGTGTAATTAATTAATTCAGTCACACCGAAAGTATCATGCAAGCTCCATCTGTAGACACGTCGTAGTGTTATTTTTCGCGTGCAAACTCTCATAATGTGTTGTTATCGTCTGGTATAATCTAACAAAACAAAAAGTACTCCACGAGGCGTCCATGTTGCTTGTTGGACTGGAAACAAGAACGCGGTTATCTTGAGTGTGACATCATTCCCATCTCTGAGATCCGAGTTCCGAGGTAAATGGAAAGCACCGTTAATCACAAAGATTTAGTCGGTCCATGTGGTAAACATCGATGCCTCTATGCAGTTATCACAACATCATCTGCGATGTGATTAACGATGATAACGTGGACAAGCTTTCACGGTAGTCTCAACACGTTGTCTGAACATGCTTTGAAGAAGTATGGTTTTCATTTCTTTCTTTTTTTTTTTTAGAATATTGAACTTTGTATTCAATTTGGTGATTCAGTAACTTTATAATTCACTCAGACTCTCATGGATTTCTTTATTCTTCTTCCATTTCTTTTTCTTTTCCCCCCAAACATGGGCGATTCTGTCAGTCATGCGACCTCTTAGCATGTCTTACAGTTTCGACTCATCAGGTAAAGTTGCACGTCACCTTTTGTGTTTCTCTTGTTGTTCCTTGTGTTTCATTCCAGGCTATTTAAGGGTGAGCTCGTTCTTTGAACACAAACCAACACACCCTTGTTTTCTTTATTTCATACTTGTGTTGTGCAAATGTGAATGACACACTCCTGTCACTTAATGGCTGCTGTTACACAGTGCACACACCTTCTGTAGCCGAGGGAAAGAAGGGGTCAGCACAGTGCAACCCAATCTCAGCTCCTGTTTCTTCTTATTCTTTTAAGCTCTTTGCTGGGATGTAGATTCAAAACATACATCTTCATAGCAGGATGTCTGTCATTTATGAATGATAGAAGCAGACACTGGATGAAGTGGCCACTCACAGGGACTTATGTGTGGTCTAGGTGAGGAGGGATAGCCATTGAGTCAGAGCCAGCAGGGTGAGATTACAGATCAGCACTCTGCACCCTGCAGCCAGTCCACCCTGCTCGTCACCCTAATCCGTTCTCACTGTGGAATATGAAAAGTTACATAACACTTTGTCAGTCAGCAGTCCTACCTCAGGCAAAGAGCTGAATGGCAGATGTCAGGCTGAATGATGCGCTACATTTTGCTACAGGAAGACCAGGATGTACGGGACTAACCTTTTGCACTGTGGCTGCACTCATTGTCCATCCCTTCACTTCCCTCTCACTCTGTGCTTTTCAACTTCACATGTGAATATAACCCACTTTTGCACAGAATCCCCACAGTTCCCACCTGCTCAGCCAGATGTTTGTTGCTCTCATGTTCCCCCTGTGGTACCAGTCTGGTGTTAGGGATGGAAGTATTCAAGTTTTTTGGGGGCTCTTCTTAAGGTCTCTATTCCTTTAAATCCTTCACAGGTGCAGGGAAAAGCATCAGCACTCCTCAGGACTTGTTCCGCACACCAGGTAAAGCTCTCAAAGAGCAATGTCTCTCTGGTACTAAGCCAGCCATTTTATTTTTTGGGGGGGAGCTTTGTACTAAAACACAGTCAAAAGGAGAAAATCTGTTATGTAAGTATATGTTTGAGGCTTATCTTTGTCACCATGTGGTCTGGGTAAACAGCCTCTGTGGCTTCACACAGTAACAATACAAAGACATCCATAGTTTACAACGGAGACACGATGGCCAGCTGCTAAGACAGATAGGGAGACAACGCATGGGAATTTACGGTTAACTCTGAATACACCATTGTTTGTAACCAAAATTGTACTTATCCACCCACAGACACTCCCGACGCACCCAGGAAGTTGGCCATCAGCACCCAATCTCTGGCTAGCGGCACCACGGGACCCAGTCAAGGCGGAGTGCAGCCGCTGAGTCAGAGGAAGAGGCTGCTCAGAGCGCCCACACTGGCCGAGCTGGACAGCTCAGAATCTGATGTAAGATGACATCCCAGTCATCTAACTCCAATTTATCAGCTTGACCAATCTTTATTTTACATCATTGAATTAAATGGTCAATGTTTAAACAATAAGAGACAAACCACAAATAATTTATAGGTTTTAAGTTATAAAGCTCATAATATTTATACGTATCATTAGCTGAACATTTTGAGTAAAAGTTTTCAGAGTATGACTGCCTCAATTAGCTTCTTTTTTTTTTCGAAAAGCTTTTTCCAATTTTCAAAGTAATGTGAAGTTATCAGCATTCTGTGACTCTGTGTTTTGATTGACAGGATGAACCCACACGGAGCAGCTCTAGTATGTCCACGTCTTTACTGGACGACACATCACCCGACTCTGTCGTAGGAAAGAAGGGTAAGAACTCACCTGGAACATGTTGTAATATGTCAAATTTTGCTTTTAATAATAATTTATACTTTCTTAATCCTGTGAGGGGAAATTCACTTTACACTCTTTTTAATGAACATGCTACACACACAGACTGAAATACACAAACAGGATCCTATGGACATGGTCTTAAACCGGCGACCCTCCCGGTTACCAACCCAAGTCTGAGCTACTGCCTCCCCACTATTAACATACCCAATGTTCAATTGTCAATTTTTACATGTCATTATTTTCTGTTGCATGTCTCCAGTTCCTCCAAAGTTCCTCCCCATCTCTGCCACCCCACAACCAGACAAGCGGCAGTCTCCTCAGAGGCGGCACTCCATTGAGAAGGAGGCCCCGACTAGTGTCCGGCCGTTTGTGCCTCCATCCAGACAGAGCTCCAAGTCTCTGGTATGTAAACTATCCAGGATATTTGTGTGACATCATCCAAGTCTGTGTAAAGGAAAGCCTCTTAGAAGGGAGTCAATAACTCACCTGATTTGTTTGTTTTTTTAAACTTTGCATCCCACGTGTAAGGATTTTTCGACATAATCTTAAAATAGCTGTACATAATGTTTTTGGTTATAGTTTGAAGTAATTCCCTTAAATATCATTGCAGATTGATTAACATTTAGCTGCTGACAGATCTTATATCTGTCAGCAGATATCTGTCTTATATCTTATATCAGAGGAGAATACGCTTCAAGCAAACGTGAATTGTAGAGTTTGTGGACCAAACACGTGGACGTCCACAATTGAGATGAACTCTAGTTAAAACTGTGGAAAAACAATAATTTATCTGTTTTATTTACTCTGGTCCTGTGACTAGACATTTGTTATCAATGAGGTCATTGGTTCGCTGAGTAACACTGCCGGTCGTATGATTCGAGTAAGGTTGATGCAAGTAATTGAAACCACAGGACAGGCGGCTGTGTGAAGGGGATGAGGGAGGAGGTTCATTCTCGCCACTCACTACACTGTCGCAGTATTTCCTCTAGAAGCCACCTTTATTTTCCTGTTAAGGCTCTCTGTTTTTATACAAGCGCATGTTCAAACCGGCTTCGCTTTTACACTAAGGAGTTGCGCCTCTCTAGTAGATGTAAAACAGTAAGATCTTTGTTCCAGCTCCCCCCCTTCCTTGCATACACATTATAGCTCATTAAAATGTTTACTGTGGTCAGCTGTTTCATGCCGCAGACTTAACGTGTTTTCCTACTTCACATACTGCTGCAGCGGAAATCGGATCCCAAAGCCGAGGTAACCTTCAACTGCCATAATCCCACTAAATAATTTAGCTCCATGGTAGCATTTGTTTCAATGTTGTAACAGAAGAGAAACTTAGGTCTGGATTAATAAAGGAGACGCAGCAGACAGGGTTTCTGCATGGATGTATAAAAACATCAGGTTTGAACCATCAGTAGACAGACAGCTTTGATCATTTGTGTCTGTAATGGAGCGGAGAGAATGAAATCATGAGATAAAGACGCCTGGCATCTCTCCTCGACGAACTCTGAGGAGGCTGTCAGATGATTTTCTGTCATGGGACTTCCTGTTATGAAGTTTTGCTTTTATGAAATTAAAGTTAGTGCACATGGGAAGAAACAACCGACAGCATGAAGTAATTAGAAAATCTCTAGACAACTCAGCTGTGTCTGTAATGTAAACACTAAACAGCTGTTACCGAGTGCTTCAAACCTCTGATTATGATGAACCTGAGTTTTATGTGAGGACCTGCTTCAGTTTGAATGTCCTGTTTCCTCCTCTGTCTGCTGGTCAGGTGGAAGCTTCCAGCAGTGCTCAGGGCTCGGTACGTTACTGTCACTGCATGTCTTCAAACCCAACCATCACATACGTTGTGGGGGAGTCATTCAGAGTAACGTTAGTGTAGTGGTTAGGTTGAACGCCTCATGTACGGAGGCTGTAGTCCTCCAAGCAGTCGGATTCAAGTCCGACCTCCCGTCCCACTTCTCTCTCTCTCTCTCTCTCTCTCTGATTTCTGACTGTCCCATCTCTAAATAAAGACATAAAAGCCCAAAATAAACCTTAAAAAAGTAGAAAGAAAAACATTGAATATAATGCACTTTAAGTAGTTGGTCAAAAAAATATGCTCCAAGCTTTTAGAATGAGTGGAATGTAAATGTTATAAAGTATATTTCATTCATGTCTGTAGTAAACTCATCCATGTTGAGCAGACTGACTTCTAAATTTAGAAATGCAGTGATTTGCAGTAATCAGTTGAAGCTGTTTTTGGTTAGTTTGTAATATGGACCTATGGTCAGCGATAAAGTAAATGGAATAATGAAATAGAGCCAGACGCTTCAGACAGACGACATGATGGGTGTGTTGCATCACAAGCATGCTCTGTATTCCAATTAATTTTCATGCCGAGAAAGCATCATGAGATGTTTCTACGTTCACCAGCTCATTGCATGCCTGCTCTTTTGGTAAAGTGGTGTGCAGTCTGTGTTTTGAATTTGACTTCACATGGTGTCAGTCTCATCAGCACCCTGGGTGTCACTTCATGCTGTTGCACTCTTCATTATCTATCCATTTTATCAACCGGCTTTATTCAAGACTAGTTTATTCAGATTCTTTTTTTCTTCCTCCAGGAGGAGTTCTGTTATCCGGTGGAGTGTCTGGCTCTGACGGTGGAGGAGGTGATGCACATCAGACAGGTTCTGGTAAAGGCCGAGCTGGAGAAGTTTCAGCAGTACAAAGAAGTCTACACAGCCCTCAAGAAAGGAAAGGTACAGTCAGAGTCATGACCTTTTTTGATTCATTAATTATTATTAATCAAATAGATTTGTTTTGAACTTTCTTAATCTAACCTGATTCTTCCTTCTCTAGCTTTGCTTTTCATGTCGGACCAAGAAGTTCTCTCTCTTCACCTGGTCCTACACCTGCCAGTTCTGCAAAAGGTATGTTGAATCACTAAAACGAGAACTACTCAACTTCAAAGGGAAAACTCAACCAAGTGTACACATTAGAGTCAGTTTACATGTTACTGCAAACAAAAAATACAGCAAACGCGGAAACTGCTTTTTTTTTGCTCCGGATAGATCTGCATGTCATTTGTTTAAATGCGACTCAAGTGATGTCAATTGAGTCGCTTTTCGTTAGAGTTCAATATTACAAATTTGGAGAGAGGAAAAAAACATGGCTGTTGAGTGAAAATGCCAGACTGTGTGCTTGGGTAGCATAACACTCGTACCATAATGTCTGTATTCCTGTTGCATTGTGGGTACTGTCGGTCCGTTGTAGTTAACGGTTACTTTTCTTTCTTCTCCAGACCTGTGTGTTCCCAGTGCTCGAAAAAGGTAAGAGGCTGTTAAATCACATTTAACACACAAACACTTGTCGTACAATATACACCACCAGGCAAAACATGACTGGCATTTTCTTGACTACTTTGTTGACCTATTAACCTTAGATGAGGCTGCCATCTAAGCCCTACTCCACCATGCCCATCTATTCTTTGGGTCCAAGTGCTGTGGCTAAAGGAGAAGGAAGTGGAGCATCGGCCCCTCCTGATCCAGAAAAGAATCCATTTGGGTCTGGACACAGCCGACACAGTCTACGCAGAAGTGTTTATAAGTATGTCTCTGCTGAACTCATTTCGTTTGTATCTACAGAGGAAAAAGTGTAAAATATTTTCTGATTTGTTAAATAACTTCTCTGTATTTTTTTTTTGCCTCCTCAGGTTTTCTAAGCACAGCAGTGGTAGCAGCAAAGATGGCCACTCACAAGACGAGCCTGACCTGCCCAAGGAGCTTACAGAGGACTGGGTCACCATGGAGATCTGCATAGACTGCAAAAAGTTCATCACAGAAATCATCTCCTCCAGCAAGCGCAGCCTGTGCGTTGCCACCAAGCGTGCCCGTCTCAATCGAAATAAAAAAACCCAATCCTTCTACATGTCATCGTCTAACTCTGTCAACTTTAGACCGTCTGAACGCGCCATCAGTGAAGTTTAGTAACTAGCCCCTCCTTGTGCGCTTTTGTTCACACCTAGAGCTAAGACGTCCAATGGCAGAAATATCCACCTCTTAGTCTAGTTTTTACACGGATTGGTTCAGTGCGATGATGAAGTCAGTCCACCCCACCCCAGAGTTAGCAAAGGTTGTGATACCTATAGCAGTCTCAGGAAAAGTTGGCACACTTTGATAGGTCATGACTGGTCAGGAAAGTAGCTGCCAGATAACAAAGGGGAGCCAGGTTTGTATCGGTCTGAAAATTCAGGACACCTCGGGTTAAACGGATAACTAGAGCTGCAGATGTGGCTAATGACCATACTCACAAGGCGGCCATTTTCCTCCAACATTTAGCACAGGGGTGGGAAGCCTAAATGCTTTTTGTTAGTCCTATAAATGTGTGTTTTTTTAACAGTGGTTTTTAATGAACTGCTTCCAGATTGATCAGCTTCTGGATGACAATAAACATTGAAAATTAGCATCTGGCCATCTGCTGGATAGCCTAACTGAAAGCTAATTTTACTGATTGTTCATTTTTACACATTACTTTAGGAAAGGCTTGCATTCAGAGCTAATATTATGTTAGCCTGGAACAAACAGCTAGCAAGCTAACATAATCTGCGCTCATTTATTGTAATTTAATGCTAGTGAAGTAGCTGGGTTATAACATTTTTAGGTTTTTATTTGTAATAGAGCCAGCTTTCCTATCTTACTTTGGCGTTCGATTGTCTGTTGGGTTGCTTTTTTTGATCAGGACATGATACAAATGATAAAGTCAGGTTACTAACATTTATACAAGTTACAAACTGAAATACAGAACATTCACATTATGACAGCATTTGAGCTTCCCAGGAAAATGGTCGTTGTGAGAATATGGCAAATTGCTAAAAAAAAAAAAATGCGTTTCATAAAACAGACTGGAAAGCCAAATGCTGAAGTGGTACAAAGGCCCATCCCTAATCTAGTTTTGTCTAGTTCCTGTTTACTTCTAGCACTCAGGATGAACAACAGATTGTCTCTTGACAGAAAATGCACTGTAGATCCTGCTGTCAGGTCTGTTGGGGTAAATCTCCGCCACTCTCCGGCCCCTCTCATCATCTTCCAGCAACAATTATGCCAAATGTTACATCATTAATTTTTATAGCAAATGTGTAAATGCATACTGTTCTCTTATGCTGTAGGGACGACATGTTAAGGAGTACGATCATTTTATGTGGGTGGGTTATTACTTTTAATGTAAATTCAATTCTGTGCCTGGTGCCAAAATGTTGTTTTTTTTCCTTTTGAATGCCTTTTGTAGTTGCGGACCTACTGTACATATGTGTCAAGAATTCAGTGGGAGACATTTTTTAAGTTAATCCAAGGTGTCTTTTCTCTCATGTTTCAAGCTGGGCGGTGGAAGCACAGAAAAAAGGGTGTGTACATGCTGTAAATCTTTATTGTTCAAAATTTAATATAAGAAAACTTTACTAAGTAGAAGTATGATTTAACCATGTTTTAAGATTTCTGCCTCTGCAGTTTCTTCATCTGAAACATTCATTTTTAGTGTAATTATGTTTGTGTCATCAAATTGTTTCTATTGTATAGTTTATACATTCTTCAGTGTTAAGATACTCCTCTAAAATCGCACTTTTATTTGACCAATTTATTGTTTATTTTGGGTCTATTGTCTTAATTAATAACAGTTATTATAACAACCATTTTTTTTTTCACCTCTCGGGTGTCCATTGTGCCATTTCCCTGGGTTCCTTGTGAATGAAAGTTTGTGTGATTGGTTGTGTGTAAGAAAGAAATAGTTGTAAAAACAAACTGAAACACTCCAGTTAAATGAATGAAGGCTTTTGAATTGTAAAACTGTCATTGGAATATGCTTTATGAACTCTTGTTCCTATAGTGCGTTTTGTGGCAGTTGTGACCAAATGAACAAGTTAATGTTAAAAACAAGGCCTTGTTCTAGAGAAAACATCCATGTGACCAGTTTTATTTTAGACTCCTGTATGGAATGTATGCATGCTGTACTGTGGTCCCTTTGTTTTTATCAAAGAAATTCTAATAAAATCATCATGATTCTTATCATTGACCTGTTTTTACTGAACTTGCTGTGTAGCAAACTGCAGAGGGCGACAGAGTTACGACAGGAAACCTTACTTCCAATCTCTGTTGTCTTCATGACATCAGGTGGTGGAAGGTGTGTATTGCACTCATCTTAGGTCCCATTAATTTTGATATGCATGATTTTCATCTATTTAAGAAGATGGAGACTGCCATACCAGAGTGCTAAAACTGTCATACCTTTAGTGAAAATACAATAAATTCTTAGTTACTGATAGGCCTGTACTTTAGCCCCGTTCTTCCCATCTCCATCTCTTCTTATATTTGATGTCTCTTTCTTCTCATTGAGACCTACTAATGTTTTTAGATTCCTTAAGACATACCTTAAAGAGTCGTGGAGACCTCTAAGATCCTGGGATCTGTGATCAAATTTCTTAGAGTCACAGGTTGTGCTTGTAGCAGATTATTCAACAGGAGAAGGTGTTAGACAAGGTGGTAGTCTTTTTTTGTAGTTTGTGTTTTTACAAAAACAGCTCTTTCAACCAAAGAGGCCCAAGCCCAGGTGATTATTAGACTCCTCAGGCTCTTCCTTTCTCTCCTCTTTCGTCTCTTCTTCTTTAGCTGTTGGGATTGAAAGGTGAGGTTTGGCTACAAAGTCAAACAAACAGGGTGCACATGAGCACTTTTGTCAAAGAAAAATGCAAAACCCCATTGCATTTCCCTTAATCCTCATGTCAACCCCTCAGAATTTAAAACAGCCTGGATATTGTGGTTTCCTTTGAATCAACTTTTTTTTCTCTAGATACTCAGACTTCAGGCTAATACAAAACTAAATGTTTTCAGAAGAAATACATTGATTTTGGGTCATATTCAATGTCACAATGCTTCACTCTTAGGCTAACCAGTGGATAGTGACTGTGATGTTGTGGGTTATTAGGATTTGGCTAAAAACAAGTGATGTCATTGACCAGGACCTCTCAAATAATAATGTAAAATTATGATATTGGTGGTAGAAATGATCCTGCTCCTGCCCTGCATTTACACCTCAGCACATTTGCAGTATGTACCTTCACAGAATGGACTGTGAATGAAATGTTATCCTTTGATGGGTTAGTAACAGACACTGAAAATAACCTGCTGGGCCACAGCTAGCCTCCCTGAAGGGTGACCCTCACACACTGGTTTCTATGGAAAGACAGTAAGCAAACACACAGTCAATAAACAGTCTGAATAGGCCAAGTATTTATCAGCAGCTCTTTAAAACGTTTCACAGGCTGTTGAGGCAAATGAGTGGAGTGATGACTCAGCTCAATCAGTCAGAAGGGTCTTTGTCTTTAACGTTTAGTGGGTAACATTTTAGTTTAAGTTTAGAAATTCCAGTGTTTCAGTTTGTCTTTGTAAATATACAGTATGTTTAAGCTTCAGACACCGGCTGCCTCAGAAAATATTGTGAGGCGTTTGCTAACAAGAAAGCTAAAGAAATTCTGCATCTAAAATGAACAAGATAGGTGTTGGATTTTTGTTGTTGTTGTAGCTAGAGTAGCTCTGCCCACCTGCGTTTAAATTAGCTTTGTTAGGTACGACAACTCTAGTACATGTGGAGAGCAGAAAAGGCAGACAGCATACATACAGTGGCCATGTTCCTCAGGGTGGGAAGCTAGCTTAAATGCTGGTATAATAATGTACTGCTTTTTCCAGAATCAGTTTGTTATGATAAATCAGGAACTATAAGGATAACAGATGTTGCTCATCCAGAGGAACTTCCTGGCTGCATATTTAAAAATGAAACAGAATAATTGATAACCCACTTGTAACCTTTAGATATGAGATACTGGTAGCATTAAGCGCTGCCACTGGCTAACATTGAAATTAGAAAAGAAGCTAAACCATTTATTTTGTAACATTACTTCCCATTAGTAATATTTGCTTTCAGCTACCTTCTAGCTAACGGCAACACAAGCTATTAAGTGGGTTCATGCTAAAGTTAGCTGTTGAGTGAACAAACTAATGGTTTATCAAAGATGTTTTTATTGAGATACTGCAAGGCTTACCTCTAGATTTTCACTGTTCATTGTTTTATTCAGTTGCTGTCAATTTATCCACCCTCTAAACTTATCCATTACCCAAACCGTTATTGAAAAAATGTTGACCCTTGATCTGACTAAAAAAATAAATAAAATGTTGACCCTTGATCTGACTAAAAAAATAAAAATAAATGTTGACCCTTGATCTGACTAAAAAAAAAAAAAATGTTGGATGCGATCTGACAAAAAATTTGAGGAAAGAAAGTTTTCACTCGCAGTTTGACTCAAATTTTGAGCAAAAAATGATGGCCCATGACCGGACTCAAATTGTGATGAAAAAAATGCAAAATTATATGCAGCTGAAATAAGATGGTGACTGTGTCTGTTAAGACTGAGTGTACGTACAAGTTTTCCCAAATCCATCCACATCGACCACTCTGATTCAAGAAAGTCTATTTACTATTGCAATAGTATGTGCAATCAGATTACTCACCTTTTTGTGAAGTAGCAAGACAAAGCTACCCTCTCTACCCTCCCAAGAGCTTTGCTGTACCCCACAAACAGTATCCTTCCCTCACTCAATATAAGCTACATGTGGAGCTACTCTTTCCAGACACTCTGTATGTGGAGAATGTGGTCTGGGTCAAGAGGCACATTTTAGTCATACTTTGATTTAAAGGAGTGAATTCATTTCACCCTTGTACCAATGCTAATTTATATAATGCAGTATTGTTGTGGATATGGATGCACTGGGATGTCACCTGATAGCCATGAACATGTTTCTGTGTCAACAATGTTCCCTTGAGAATGGCATGAGCATGACTCAGCATATCACTGGCAAATATAAGCATTTAAAACTGCCTGAACTCCAACCAAAGACTCAACATGCTCAAAAACAATATATATGTTGTTCACATGTTATTTTCAAGCAATAAATTAGCTTGATTTTTCAAAAGAAGTAAAAAAATGACAGCGCTATTTTAGAAACCAGACAGGAAAAACAATATTTAAGCTTATAGTACGGTAGAAAACATTGTAAATAAAATATCAAACACTACAGAAAGTCAACTGCGCAAGTAACAATAACTCATTATGCATCATGCAGATGATCAGTAATGCATTTTTTAATAGACAACAGACCCAGAAAAGGGATGTATGCCATGGATGATCCTATTCAACATGGCGGCCATTTTCCTCCAACCTCACTCTCAAGGCGGGAAGATCAAATGCCTGTAATTATTAGAATGTATTCCAGTTTTGTTGATCATGTCAATGTATTTGAAATATAACGCAAAATACTCATCAAGTAGTAAGCCTCTTTCACACTAACCTGTAAACCAATGTGCTGTTTCAACTTGAAATAAAAGAAAGAAATAAAAGGTAAAAAGATTTACCTTTTCATTCCCACTGGTAATTGTCTTTCATTTATTGAACAATTGAGAAACCATGAAAGAAAAATCAATGTATCAGATACCCTATATGACCTGAGGAACCTGGAACACCGCAGCTTGAAAATATCAAAGCATTTAGCTTCCCACCTTTAGCATAATGTTAAATGTAATTGGCAAACGTGTGAACATGGTAAATTGGTTGGTAATTATTGCATGGCACGTTTTCATGGGTCGCAGCATTATATATTTTTTTCATGATGGACAGGAGGGTCACAGGGCAAAGATGGCAGAACATAGGTTTCAAATAGATTGATTATAGATTTTGATTCCCTTGGATGAATACATTTCAGATCAGTGGTGGTTAGCGAGTTAAAGTTAACCATTAGTATGTCACAAATGCATTGAGGGCTGTAGTGGCTGCAGACCCTTTCCATTGCCATTATCAGCCATAGTCGCCTTTAGTAGGTCATTGCATCCTCTTACCACCACACGCTACTGCTGGAAGGCAGAGTTGTCACATGTCCTTACATCATTGTAGCTTCCTGCAAAGCCTTTTTCTTGGAGAAATTCAAAGTAAACCCCCACTGAACCACTTAAATGTTTATGTTCAAAGCTCTTTGACTCCAAAATATCATTTTTTTATACCACTTCATAAAGAAATAAAAAACATTATTTTCATTGTCAATGTATTAACTGTTATATTAAATCCTTGATCAGATATTTGGTCATAAAACATAGGAAAATATTAAAAAATGCCAATTAGTGTTTACCAGAGCCCAGGTTGACATCATTTAAAGTCTTCTTATTTACACAACCCAGAGAAATTCAATTTGCTGTCGTATAACAGTCAGAAAGAAAGAAATATTCACATTAGAGAAACAAGACTCAGAAAATTATCAAAAAACTCAAACCAATAAGTCCATATCCCAATTGTTTTCCTTAGTGCACTCTGATAAAAGCAGGAATGTTTTTTTTTTCTGTGTGCAAATCAATAAGCTATCAGCTCTTTTTTGGGCTTTTATGACAAGTAGAGTTTCAGAAAGCAGCCAGGCATGTCATTCTCTATGAATTAAACTGTTAATAGGGAAGTCTCCTACAGCTGCTAGGCATTGATATGCTGTGTATAAATGTCTGTGAAATTCAAGCATTAACACTCTTAGTTACCATCAAGCAAGCGCGGCTGAAAAAAGCTTTTGGAGTATGTGTGCCTGACCAGCTGCTTGTTATGTAAGTGTGTCTGCCACTCGTCATCTCTTGGATTCACAGTTAAATTCAATACCAGGTGCCTCAGAAATTACACCTCTGGTGTTCAGTTAGGCTCCCCTGTGATTCAGTGAAAGTCCTCCTGGCTTAACATGCCGCTAAGTTGTGACAGAGACTGAGCTACGTGAAGGAATGCAGCCAGTCCGAAATGGTTTCCCATTTGTGTAGTTAGAGGCCAATCAGTCTTGGCAAAAGGGAGTCGAGGAAAATGTAGCAGAGTATTTGCAAAGTGACTAACAGGATGGTGGGTCATGGTGGGTTTGGTCTATTGGACACACAGACTAGCGGTAGGGAGCCATGGTCAAATAGCTTGTATGGCAAAGAACCTTTTGAGGTCCAAACGTCTGTCTTCGGGTCATAACACTCGAAACAGTCTGAGTCCTCAATGACATCCTGGCTGTTTAGGATGCGTCCACCGGTGATGTAGAGCTTGTTGTTGATCACTGTGGCGCTGTGATGCATCCGCCTCTCCCTCAGGTTCTCACACTTGAAGAATTTGTTTGTCTTCGTGTCATAGGCGATCATTCGCCTGGTGTATCCTAAAGATCAGATTTTCCATGAGCAATCTCCAAAGATACATTGTGATAATAGATTTTTTTCTCAGTAAAAACAAATCCATTGAAAAGACAGTAGATCAACTGACATAAGAGAAAGAATCATTAAAAATTAATCTTAGCTGGAATCAATCGAGAGATTGATGAACACATTTTTTGTTAGGTCTTTTTATGTGATTTGTTGACCATTGGAAATATACAACTTTATCATTGAAAGATGCATGTCCTATATGGTTTATGTAACTCAATGTATTGTAAAGATATTACTACATCTACAACCACTGGGTAAAAATCTTATTTGACAACCTCCTATGATGTAGATCTTGTCTTCAATGACAGCAGCAGGAGCACAAACGTTTTTCACAGTTCTCGTCTCTAGTCTGGACCACGTGTTGCGAGAGATGTGATACACCTGGTGAGAAACCACAAACAACAGGAGAAATTCAATTTGTTCTCTAGCCTTAAAGATTGCAGTTTGCTGACTGCTTGTGGGATTCTGACTGCAGTCAGTCTCCTTTGCTTTTCAGACAATTATATAGGCTATAATTTTAGCTTAAGGCCTTTCTGCCAACAACAAGTGGATTTCAGCATTGATTCTTGATCTCTTTAGTACCTGAATCAGCCTGACTGGATTCTGCATTGCGTCCTCCCCTCCAAAAACATAGATCCTCTGATCACTGGCTGCTACAGCTGGATGCAGCACTGCTGTGGGCATTGGTGCCATTGCCTCCCATTGGTTAAACATACTGTTATATCTTTCTACTGACTGAGAGATTCTCTTGTCTTCCCCGATGCCTCCTAATACGAAAATAAAGTGCAGATAGGAAACACTTTGGTGGGCATATCTTGGCTCCAACATGGGCTCAGCTGTCCGCCACTGGTTGGTCTTTAGGGAGAGTGTGTAAACTGTGGCGCTGACTGAGCTATCACCTAATGTCATACAGAGGCTGAGCCCACCAAGCACATACAAGATGCTATGAATGCACACATATGCAGCTTTGTAAAGACGCAAGGGGAGCTTGGCCAACCACTGCCAACGATGAGTCCTTTCATCGTACAGCAGGGCTTCTCTGGAGGTCTGTTCATTGTTTTTGCGTCCCCCCACCACCACCAGTGTTTCCCTACAGGTGTAGCGTCTTGGTGTGGTCCAAAGTGGCTTGAGCTCCTGGCTACACTTGGTGCTGACTGTGAGCATAAGGCGACGCACTGAATCGATGATCTCAGTACACAGGGTGGAAGACTGCACCAATGGGTCATTGGCGATAAACTGGAAGAGGTAAGTTGGATGAATGTAGCGAAGGCGGACTCTTTTGAAGAGGTCATGGATTGCACCGCGTCTTGAGAAGGGGTCATGGTGGATCCACGCAAGGAGTGTCTCGAACACTTGCTCCTCCTCAGCACAAAGTCGGTCGTCCTCTAGGTAACACATAAGCTCTTGAAGAGTCAACTCGCTGAAGTCCTCTGTAGCAGCGACATCAGAGAAACACCTCACAGCCATCTCCTTAGCCCTCTCCCTCAAACTTTCACAGTGAAGGATCTCAGAGAGCCGTATCATGCTCAGACAGTTTTCTGGACTCAGCTGCTCCTGCAGGAACATGGAACAGGCCTCAAAAAGACCCCCATAGTGAAGCATGGATGCTGCCTGCATGAGAGGAAGAACAATGTCCATGGTGATATTGATGCAGCCTGTGTAGACATAGTCCACGATGCCAGTAAGGACATCCGAAGAGATTCCCTTTAGATTCACTCGGGCCTGACTGCTCTCCAGAAAGTTGCTGCAGAACATGGCTCGGAAGTACGGGCTGCTGGACACTAGGACATTCTTGTGGCAGGGAATCTCCTGATGCTCCGTGCAGAGCAGGACGTCTGTCAGGATACGCTCCTGCCGGAGGATGTTGAGCTGGGCATGAAGGTGAGAGGGAAGTTCTGAGTCTTTGAACAAGAAAACTTCTTGTGGTCTACAGGCCATTCTGTGGAGAGGGTAAAGAGGGACAAAATAAAGATTTGTTTGTGGTACTGTTTTATTTCTTTACTCCAAAGCAAGAGTACTGATGACATTTCAATGGATGAAGCTAAATTATGTTGAGCTTAACCTACAACTACTGTAGCTTAGCTAAAATTAAACTTGGATGTACTGATCATGAAACAAATGTTAAAATAAGAGAAGATCTATACCACTGTCATGTCTGTAAGTCACATTTAAAGAGACAGTAGGAGACAGTTTGGTTTTTCCCAGCATAAACGCAGGAAACAAGGGGAAACAGCTCCCCAGTTCTGCTTAAAGGCATTAAATATTCATACCCCTATTTGTAAAGGTCACTAGCCATGACATTAAATCTCATTTGTCTAACACAAATAGCACAGCTCTTAAACAACATTTAGATTGACATCAGAGGTTGAGTTTTTGCCTGTGGAGTTATGAGGTTGTTAAGCAAAAAGCAGAAACTTCAGGTAGTCACCATTCATTATATTTAGCGAAATTTACCAATTATCCTTTAAGATATCAAGCAAGAAACTAATGCCTCTAAGAAGCCTTACATCAATGGCTAATTTCCTCGTGAAATTGGGTGGGCAAACCTAAGATAACGTTAGCTTCTCAAAATAAACAGAATACCATCTATCTGCATGCACTGTAGAGTTTGTTGTCAAGGCCAACAGCTTTTCAGTGACATTTACTTGAGCTTTAATTTTCTCCCTCTGGCTAGGTGAATTTGATAGCGAAGTCTATCATTTATTATTCCACTCTTGCAGAGCAGCTGTCCTTAATGGGGCGATTACTGACTCACAGATTTTTATTTTTAACTCTTCTAAATTATCTTGATGCATCCACGTAGCATTTGGCTACATACCCCTAATAAAGCAGCCCATCGCTGCTAACATAAACAGAACTGTGTCAACACACCATCTCTCCACCTCACTAAATGTTCCCTTCTCTTCTATGTTATCGCTGCTGCTTTTTCTATTTGTTGTGTTTGTCCTCTATCAGGTATCCGATCCTCTCATATGATCCGTCTCTCCCTACTGGAGGGTATGTGATGATTCTGCTGTTTAAAGAGCAGGAATTTCAATGGGCTATTAGCAACACTAAGTCTTCTAATCATCCCTGCGACAGCTACTGATTCACTCCCACTTATGGGGCCCACCCTGTCTGATATATTTGGACCTCTGGGCACTATTGTTTATTATGAAATACCAATGACAGTGACTGACATTACATTAGTGACTGTTTCCCTCAAAATCTTTATCAAGGGCACAAGAGATCCTTTTAACTAATGGTATCATGGACTAGTGTTATTCTACTATAATCCTGACTATAGTAAAGTGCATCTAATTATTATTCTAGGACACTTTCTGGTGAGTTATTTTTTTGACTGATAATCCTGTAAAACATGTGGTTGGTGTTCTCTTTTATGACATTATGTCAACAAACTACTGTAACCAATTTCTAAAATGGATTCATAATTGCATAATCAATACATAATATTTTAGTTATAATTAGTGAAGTGCTTTAAAAAGAGGCACAGCTGGATTGTGTTAACAGAATCGGACTCACTTATACCTCAAGTAAAATAAATTAAGAGGATACCGTTAGGCTTTTGCTGAACAGGCAGGCCAAATCTGCTGCTACACGTTTAAAGTTTTTATTTTTGCTGACACAATTAAATATTTAATATGTCAAAAATGATTTTGTTTAAGTTTGAGAGAAATGTCCTAACCTGTTGCCAGTTCTTCCACAACATCTGTGTGACGGAGTGAATCCTTACCTCCTGCTCTCTCAGGAAATCAGTGAAATCCACAACGTCTGGTAGGTGTGATCACAGGAAATGTCAGTTCCAATCACAAAACATAATCCAGAGAGAGACTGGGTAGTGTTTTCAGGGAAAGAAAAAGGAGCATGACACAGAAAAACGACGAGGATCTCCAGTTAGACGCTGTGGAGCTTGCCATGAGGCCACTGTGTACATTCCTGCTGCTAAGAATAGTAACCCGGGCCACTGTGACTCCAGCCAGGCCTCTCATGTGACACGGAGCTGTTTGGTACCCAGTTTGACGGCTTAACAGCTCTGCCGGTGTCCAGCGGAGAGAGTGTTTACAATAGCCAGGGGAGGACGAATGATAGAAGGGTCCTGACTCAGCCATGAAGCCCACCCAGGCGGCTGTTCAATCAAAGTGTCCCTGAGTTGCTAACCCATGTCCATCTTCTTCTGCTGTTTAAATCCTCCTCCTCCACCTCCTCCCTCGTGTGTAACCCAGGATGAAGGTAAATATAGAGCAGTGCTGATGGGCCAGCTTGATCAGAAAAAACAGCTGTAAGAACTGGACTCATGATGTGGTGCTGTGTCTGTGTTGGATAATGACAATGAACAACTGGAAACTGGTTCAGCTGTCAGTCGAAGCAAACTGCCAAAATGGCATCAATTACTGTCAGTCCTAGAAATGTGGCCCCAGAGGCTCATTTGGTAATGTAATCTACTGTATGCACTGTAATCAAGTTTGATGATCCAAAGTGATTTTTTTTAGGCAAGTGATATATTTGTTACTATAACATTTCACAAAAATCACTTACACTGTGTATGTACAGTAAATGTTGACTATTTGTTTATGATATAAATAACTTTATACATTTTATTTCAGTACTGGTGTTGTTGTCTTTCATGTTTATTGATCTTAATTGATCGAATTATAAAGTTGAATTGGATCCACTAATGTGTCTGAAGGCTAAATTAAGTTACTGACAGTTACACAGTGGTTTGACTATTTTACCTTTTTATTGGGAAATGTTTGATGTGCATTAGCTTTAAATCAGTCAGACAAGGCCTATGAGCGTGAAGAGTAAACCTTGAAATGTTGGAATTGGAATGAAATGTTTTATCTTCTTCAGCCTGGATGTCCTTAGGGGTCTTTTGCATTTAAAAAAAATACATTAACATTTGTGTTTTTCAATGAAATGTAAAACCACAACCACCTTAAGACTCTCTGGTCTATAAAATACAGCTTTTATAAAACCATTCAAATAAAAGCAAAAACCTGACGGTGATAATGTCTCTCTAATTATACAGTAGTTTATTGTAAATGACATATTGCATCATCAATACTACCCATGATGCAATGCAAATTACAGTTACTAACTGCTAAGGTGTTCAATGGTACGTTGACTGGTCATTTTGCTTTATTTAACTGTAGAAATTATAGCAAAGGCTAACAGTGGTGAGACTGATATCATCAATATTACATTACAGATTTAAAAAAAGATAGACAGAATTACAGTTTTCATTTTGAGGGAATTCCTTGAACATATTGACTCCAGAGTTTTATTGTCTCACTTTGTCACTGACAAAAACAACACCTATTAAAAATAGATAGTTATGCAGAATATAAATAGTGAATGGTTTTTCAGTTAAAAGTGTTGACAACAGATCGTGTTGAAAAGAAGGTTTGATGCCATGGATGTTGGATACTGTATATTGTTTTTCTTTTTCACTTTACTGTTTGCCATAACATGGACATACATTTCTTGAAAGTTCAGTAACTAATTGATATTCTTATTTTTAGGTTTTATTTTTTTAATATGTTTGCATTAATTGCCTTCATGGGTCTAAATGCAGAACAGTTAGAAAAGTATTTTGATAATAAGGTGAACTTTTTTTGAAAAAATGTAAGTATGTATGTTTTTGTTTAATGCACGATCCCTTCATATCATCAGGTAACTATAATTGCTTAAAATAAACTGTCTGAGAAGAAAAATAAGCTCATAGCATGTCCAAAATGAAACTGTCTAGAGGTCACATGTAGAATTCCCTTCCCTTCACGGTCATACGGCCAGAAGGGAACAGGTATAGAGTCAAATTCCTGCTGAAAGATGAATAAGGACATAATATCTTGTTTAATTATTTGATGTCAATGATGTTCAAGATACAATCAGATCCAATTTAACATTTCTTCATTTAACGAGAGCAGGTATTTTTCAGCCTCTCTCTTGTGCTAGCTCGCTGTAGCTCCTGAGGCACTGAGATGAAATACTGTCATGTTTGTTTAGCAGCACATGGCAGAGAACTGGAGTTACATCTGGACAGATTGGATGACATAGCTGCAAGAAAGTGAGCTGTCAGCAAGTCAGACATCATGACATGTGAGCACACACAGCTTTGGTGGACTTTGTCACACAGTGAAACCCTACACAGTGTTAGCAGTTAGCCAGTGACAGCGACGTGCTCACAGGTCGGTCATGGTGTACACTAGCCTCTTAACAAATTCAACCTGAGGTGCAGGATGACACGATATGAAGCAATAATAAATACATGTTAATGTTCTTTATCTGTTTTTGATATAGAGCCAACAAAATTATGCAAACATGTGTATTTACCATATTTTATTGTATTGTTTTTACAAATATGAGGCTTTATGATGTTAAAGATGCATGAAAATATATACATATAATAATAACTTTATTAATGTAGAATTTAAAGTTCTTTGACAAACAAAGCAAAGGCAAACGGTCCAGTTAAGGCATGCAGGCTCAATGATCTTCTTAATATTTTACTCTAGGGGCAGACATTGCCACTATGTGTCGTTTAGTAACTTAGGGGCAGTGCAAAGTTCATATATTCCAACAAAGACTCAGAATATTGTGGGGAAAAATGAGTTTAAAAAAACGTTTCATGACCTGAATAAGTCCTGGGGGAAATAATTAGCTTGCCATTGAGAGCCACTTACAAGCAGTAGATATAAGGTACTGAAAGATGAAGAGGTATTGACACTTTCTATTTAGGTTAAAATGTTTTGTTTACTTGCGCTGTTGTTAATTTACTGCTCTGTGTGCCTTTGAATTGCCCCCCGGGGACAAATAAAGTTTTTTGAATTGAATTGTATATTGTTTCTTTATGTTACCATTAGATTTCTTAAAAGTAGCCTATTCTCTGGTGTTGTCCCTTCTGCTTATTGTTTGCCCTCTAAATCCTTCCCTGATCCAAACAGGAAACAGGAAATGAGAAGCACTGTGAATGGAAACTGTAGCATACAGCATCGTAGATCTACGTTTGGTCAATCAGCCTTCTCCATCAAAGGCTGTAAACTCTGGAACACATTACCACCTAAAATAAAATTAATCTCGGACTTAAAATCTTTTACAAAACAGGTGAAATGCTCAAAGCAAGCCAGAGCTGTACCCACTTGTAAATAGTATCTTTAAACTTTATTTTAAACTGGTTTATAGCATTTGTATTGTTGTACATGTATTTTAATGTATCCTCATATCGTGTTATGGGGTTTTATGTAACTGAATGTTGTACATTTTAATCTGTTTGTTTACACAAAGGCCCAACTGGGGACACGAGTTGGAAATGAGCAATAGCTATATACGCTTTATGCAGCACATCAGTTTCATACTTTGTATTGAAATGATGTTAAATTGCATTGTCCCTATTAAAATAAATACATTGAAGTTCAAAACTCCAGCTGACATGTTCCTCACACGGTCTGAGAGTATTTTAATAATAACAACAAGCTTATTACTGATGAAATAAAACTTGTACTTGACATGAATCTGGTTTGATAATCCTAATTACCTCTCATTTATGTCCTGGCTCTCTTGCTCCATTCACAGCCACGGACGGTCACGCCTCGACCGGAAGTGACGAATGTATCCACGAGCGTGACGAACGGCTTGTTCGAAAATACAACAAGGAAGTGGACGTTTATTGTTAGGGGGGGAAAATAATCACCGGATAAAAAACATCTTGTCGGACCTGGGTGCCGCTGTGCTCTGCTGTTGGGTGCAGGAGGAGGAGGGGGTGAAGTCACCGTGGACTGTTTGGGATCGTGTCGAGGGATTCTGCTTTCACCCTGCTAGCTAGCGATGAACACGGACGTGGAATTTCACATCAGGCAGAATTATCCGTGGAACAAGCTCCCAGCTAATGTCAAGCAGGTATTGTGTTGTAACATTTCCACGGGGCAGGGGGGTGGGGGGGGGGGAAGCACCCCTGAGAGGTGAGGGGGGGGGTGAACCTGTCAATGTCACCGCAGTGTCTCTGTCACACAAGTCGCTAACCTTCCCTGCAGGGTTTCACCATTCAGCCATAACTGACCATCATGTCATTAAACCTCTGAAGCTCCGCTGCATCACATGACTTATTGTTGGATAGGTGGCGCCACATGATGCAAGCGCGTGGATGTCACCTGCAAATAATGAATGAAAACCCCCTGTGTGCAGTATGTGTGCATTGTCGGATAAAAATCTCAAGTTTTTGTTTGTACTGTTAATCATCCGCATTAGCTCCCTCCTCCTGCACGTCAACATTTTCCTGGTGAAGTGGAGGCGGACAGCTGCTCACAGAGAGAGCGTCGTGCTGCTGTTTGAGCTGCTGCCTGCATCCCTGAGCAATGTGCATCCTCAGCAAAGCTCCAAGAAGTTCCACAGGGAACCCACTCAGGCCTCAAGGCTTCTTGTGTTTGGACTGTTTTGTTGCTTGTGCAAACTTATGTTTCAAAGTGTTGTTCAGCCCTGAAACTGAATGTGTTTCCTGTGGCAGTATCACTTTGATTGTGGCTACAGATTACGACTCGAGTATCTAAGCTCAGTGAATAACCTAGCGGCTGAATAAATGTACAGTTTAGTTTAGTTTAGTTTATTTGCACATTTTTTGAAAGAAGAATCAAACAGAAAATTAAAAAAATAAAACACATGTGCAGGTGAGGTAGAAACCCACAAGGGCTTATCTCAAAACCTCACCTTAAGAGATTAAACAAAGTTAAAATGAAATACAGTAAAAAAAATAACAAAGTAAGAATATTTACTGTCACAAATAAAATTTACCCAATTGAAAATGACATACAAGCATTGAAAACATAAAAATAGAGCAAAACAGGACATACAATATGTAGACAATATAACAAAATCAGGACATTTCACTTTTGGCTACAAATCTTTCTGACATCAACGCATTTCTGAGTCTCAATTTGTATCTAGAAAAAAGTTACTTTTCTTATTGGCATTCAAAAAAAACATTCTTGTGGGTTATTCATGTCATGTTTGACACCTGACCCACCTTGTATCTGTTATAAGAGACAATCAAGTGCTGCATGTTCACAACACATGTTTGTGAGTATAAGCCAAAGCACATTGACACTAAGAGCCTTTAGGTGCTTATAAACTTTCAGAATGTTTGGTCTAAGGGGGTCAAGGGTCTCATATTTACCACCCCTGGCAGGTTACTCTGAAAAGGTTCCTCACCTGTGTGTGCTGTGATTTTTGTTTTGTTTTCCTCCGCAGAGTTTGGGGAACTCTCAGCGTGAGTATGAGAAGCATGTCCTGCTGTACAGCATCCGCAACCAGCTGCGATTCCGCAATAACCTAGGTAAGCCACATTGATGACTCTCATACTGCTGGTCGCGTCATGATTGAGGTGTGACAATGAAAGACAGACAGTAAACAAATCATGAATGCATTATTTAGCTGAAGAATAAGGCTCGTGGGTAAGTATCCCTACCGGCCAAATGACCACTCAGTTCAACTTCCATCAGGTACATGACATTAAAGGATAAATCTACTTCTAATGCAAAACTTTCATCTTAGTCTAACTCTAGAGTGCCATGTCAGCCCCAAACGAACACCTTTTATAACAGGTACATCCAAAGAACCACAGTGATGGTCCTATCTACTGTTGGTTCACTTGTATTTGCATGATATGGATGCTGTCTTTATGCTTACTCGTCTTGAATGAGGAATAAATGGATGCATTACTGGTTAAGTAATAGGCCATTTAAAACAGTGTGTAATAGTCTCTAAATCGCTGTGTAATAATAACGCCATAATCAATTGAATTACTTCCCCCGTGACCTTCTGGAGGATCACAGCTCCTTTTTTAAACCTGGATTGATCTGCTATAGATTGGCAGGAAGTGCACACAAAGCACACACACACACACACACACACACACACACACACACACACACACACACACACATATATCCCAGGCTTTGACCTGACTGCTGTGTGTTTGTGTGTTTTATGAACAGTGCGCCACGTGAGGAAGGATGAGCGCAAGTATTATGAGGAGCTCCTGAAGTACAGCCGGGACCACCTGATGCTGTACCCCTACCACCTGTCTGACATCATGGTCAAAGGGCTGCGAGTCACTCCGTTCTCCTATTACATAGGAATCATGGAGGTAAGCCAGGTGGACGGAGGAGCCACTTTTCTGTTGTCTTAGCCTCTGCAATCGGCTTCTCATACACAGAAACATCTACCTTTACTCACACGCGGTATGTGTCGTGAAAGCTCTTGCTGGCATTGCTCTCTCTTTAAACCCCAGACAATACAGTGGTGATTACACATCTCCATCTCTGCTTTCATTACAGTGAGCTGGGTTAACCTGAAGGCACAGAGCAAGATTTTTTTTTTTTTTTTTTAATGTGCAGCAGCAAAGATCCCCTAATTAGTTTTCAAACATCCAGTCTCTCTTTATATTCATTTTGGCATCCCTGGAAAGCGCTGCAGAAGTACGAGCTTCATTCAGGCACTAGATGTCAGCCAGAGTCTAGCAAAGCCATTATGCACAAGCTCAGGGACACACACAGACCTAAACCCAGATCACACACACCCAGAGAGAGTCTTTGATGTTTGCGCTGCAGATTGTTTTTCAGAGTGTGACGTGTCCATGATAAAACCAAGGCTCTTGTTTGCAGCTTGCACAGACTTCTTCCTGACTCCTGACACTTTTTAAATGTGTTTAAAGACTTAGCCGTCACACAGCTGCTTTTGAAACGTGACCCAGAGAACATGTTGCAGTCATGATTTCTTAATGAACGTTGTGCACCTGTAATTACAGTGAACTCTTTTGCTGCTCTTTAAGCCGATGTTTACTGTGTATTTTCTTTGCATTATGCTTTTAGATAAACATATAATGCTTCACACCCTCGTGTGTTTAAAGAGAGAGAACATGTGTGCAGATGCTGCCAGCCTCTATGATGGTTCCTCATTTAACATACTTCCCATTTATTCACATCTGACTAATGTGACGAGTCGACTAAACTTATAAAAACCATTAAGGATTCAGGTCTCACTTTAAATGTCTTTTTTATCCATTTTTCTATGCGTGCTAAACCAAACTTGACTGAGCTTTAATCTTGGCCACTAAATTGCCTGAAGGCCATGTCATATTCTGATAATGCTTCATAAGCACTTCATGAAAACGGGGAGTAGAAATTAGCACAGCGGCCCAGAGTAGCTAATCCTGTTATTAATCAGAGGCAGAGGGACACAGAAGGGGTGAGAGGAAAATGAGTTTAATTCTTTTCCTCCTTGTCTCTTTTCTCCTTTTCTTTTTTTTGTGTGCCTCAAGGATATTATGAACAGCGAGAAGAGTTACGACTCCCTGCCCAACTTCACTGCTGCCGACTGTGAGTCTCTTTATATTTATTTTACCTCTTCAGTCCCCAACAGAATGACTTCCTTGGGATACTGTGTAGCTCCAGCTCCTTCTCTCATTTACATATTTCCAAGTTCTTTGATTCAAAGGGCTGATATGTAGATAGGCTAGAGCATTCAGAGAAAAAAAAGGCACAAAAAGGCTAATTTTGACTCTTTAGGGGCCGAGAGACGTCCATGAGGTCATTGGAGGAGCATTTGCAACATTAAACTCAAAATCTTGAAGGAAGAACCAACATCACTACATTATTAAAGGTCACATATTATACTCCTTTTCAACCAGTTTAAACAAGTCTCAGAGCTCCCCTAATCATTTTTGTGAACTTTCTTTCGAAAAGTCTTCTCTGTTCCTGTATTTTGTCATACCTACAAACCCCTCTATTTCAGCCCTGCTCAGAACAGGCTGTTTCTGTGTCTGTAGCTTTAAATGCATGTAATCTGTGTCTGACCACGCCCCTCTCTGGATGGGTTTGGGTGGCTTGGGCTTTCTTACGCCATGCCCTAGTGTTTACAGTGAAAAGGATGGCACAACAAACACCTAGCTGTGGGAGTGTCACCCACCTGCGGGAGGAGTTACTGCCCTTTGTGATGTCATGAAGGGAAAATCTCCAAACGGCCTGTTTGAGCACACATTTTCTGAAAAATGAAGCAGGCAAAAGACTGATAGGATGGACTTTCTCATCATTGGGAGGTTTGTAAGACAGAATAGGGACACATGTTAGTTTAAGTGTATTTATGTGACCTTTTATAGTCCTGTTTGATTAATTGCTAAAATTAAAAATCTCTGGGTTTATAATGTTGTCAAATTCATATTTTAAATTTGGCCGGGCAAACAAGAAATAAAGATGGACATCATTTTCAGCTTTCTCTTAAATGGGAAATGAATAGAGCAGTTTAAATTTGTGCCATTTTTTTCTCTGTTTGTACATCTATTTTTTTTAACCCAATGTAGAATTTATGGCTTTAGCTCAATTTACACTACATGTCTTAAGTGTGTCCAAAACTTTTAAAGCATATTCTTTCCCGGTGTGGATAAAAATGAAAGGCTGTGTTTTGGCAGGTGTTGAATGTGTCTGTTAGTTAAACAGTTTTCTCAACAGATTTTTCAGAATAACCCACTACTATCATGATAAAACCATATAAAATTACATTGGCTAATATAAATCACATATCACAGTGAATAAACCGGCTCCTCAAGAATGAAATTGGCTCCATTTTTGATGTTTTTCTACATGAATTAAGAGCTGCTTTCCTTGATGGTTGCAAACCACATTAAGATTGCGCTGAGTCGTGGAGTCAAGTGTACATTTCAGTAGTACCATTCCTTCTGTTGTCATGTGAAACGTGCTTCGGCCTGTGAGTGACTGAGTCCTGGCAGACTAGGACCTCCATGCTGCTGAGACAGAAGGCTGCCAGCAGGCTCCTGCGCTTCTCACAGGGGCCGCTCTCGTATAATCTCCCCGAAGGAGCTGTGGAAGTGTGTCATGGAGAAGTGGGTGGGATAGACAGTGAGAGAGCCTGTGAGAGAGAGAGCGTTAATATGTGGGCGGTTGTTGTGTGTGTTGTATCTGTGTCTTGGTGAAACAGCAGGAGATGAGTGGAGGATTTTGCTGCGTTAGGAGGTAGAAATGAGAACATCCCTCACTGCTCCCTGTGTGTGTTGGCAGCTGTCCCTGCACATTTCGCTCTGCCCCTTCCAGGTCTGAGCATCACAGGCTGGAGGAGGTGGCACGAGGATTTGAAGCCAAATTTGCAGGACTCTCTCTTATAGAGGCTGTTAAACTTTCTGTATGACCCAGTGTTTTCTCAAACACAGAAAAGATTTATTAAATTAGTTACAGATAAAAATGCATGCACACACTTACTCGTCTTACTTTAAGAAGAGCCCTTGGTGCATGGTGCGTGTGTGTGCGTGTGTGTGCTTTTGTTTGGATGCATTCCCTCAGCAGAGTCTAGATGAGTGACTGTGACTCGTGACGCTCCTTTTCTCCAACATAAAGCTTAACATTTTCAGAAAAGAATTGTTCTGCTACTTTGCTTCTTGCTCTAATTTTTCTCTCTCTTTTTTATGTTAAGCCTCACTGGCTGTAATTAAAAAAAAAAAACCACACATTTGCAGCTGCTATGCAGCCAGATTGATTTTGAGCATTTACAAGTTCATGATGAGTTATTGAGAAATTATTGATTCTTTTCTGTCTTTCAAATGTTCTCGTCATCAGGTCTGCGGCTGCTCGGCATCGGGAGAAACCAGTACATCGACCTTATGAACCAGTGCAGGTCTTCTAAAGTAGGACTTTTAAAAAAAATCCTTCATAGTCCACGCCTTACACATTAAATGAACAAGTTATTAGTCTCTTGACATCTAGATCTCTGATCTAGTAATACTGTATATCTTCTGGTTAGCATCCTCATTATTGTAACTATAGTAACCATTAGTCAAGAGTTTTTGAAGCTAAACCACCTGAAACAAAAAGTCCTGGAGACCGTTTTGTTCTTGTCAGTTTTAAAACTCCGACTTTACGTCAATCTTTATTCGATTTTAAAGCGACTAGATCTCATCTCATCTTTTTATTTTGTCTCCTTTTTCAGAAATTCTTCCGCAGAAAGTCAGCGAGGGACCTTCTACCAGCCAAACCTGTGGAGATCTCTGTGGAGCTGTGGTGGGTGGCACAAACAGGCTACATCACAGAGGACGATATCAGGGTGAGATAAGACATGTTCTTTCTTTTCTGGATATCAGTTTGTTTAAAATGCATGTGATTGTGAAGATTCTTGTTTTTTGATCCAGTGAAAGCAGGCTGTGATGGATGATCTCATACTAACAAGTGGTTGGAGAATGGGATTTATATTTCATTTGAATGAGGTTTAGATAATCCATTCCTTCTTGTATTGTTTTCCTGTTTTGCACCAAATGTTTCATTGATCTTTATAAATGTAAGATAATATTTCAGGGGGAAATTTATGAATGTTCAGAATGTTTTATCCCATGTTCTCATTGAAATTAATTCAGGTTACACTCTAAGCTACTGTTCATTCCATAAGCCCCTGTACTGCATGTGCAGAGCTCACCTCACTGAAAATAAAAAAAAAACTACAAATTTAATACAGTCCCTTCTCCTTCCACCAAAAAGAAACAATACAAACGTATTCATCCTCCCAGAGTCTGCCCCACCACCGTCTTCACATCCATGGAACCTCTCATAGACTTCTATGGTCTGAAGTGTGCTTCTTGTGTGTCATTACAGATCTGTTCTCAAGCAGAGAAGAAAGCCATCGATAAGATGATCGATTCTGGACCTCAGCTGTGTGGATCAATGGAGTACAATGTGGTCTTAAGTGAGTATCTGTCGCATGTTATGCTCCCCTTTGAAGCAGCTGTATCAGCATACATTCAGGTGAAATTAAATGTATTTCATTATTAAAGACTTTTCTGACATGTTATCTGATAAAACCCCAGACTGCTGTATAGAAAACATGGATGTAGTCTCAGTGACTTCACCCATTGCTTTCCTGAAGCAGAGTTATGAGGCCCAAAGATTACTGGTTGTCACCAACAGGCGTTGGTGGAGTTGAGGTGGGCCTTAAGTAGGGCTGTGCTCCAAAAATGTATATGGCATTATATATCGTCATGTGCTCCTTGCATGTATCGATACAGATGTTACAGAATGGCTAAAAGCTGTGATGACAGTTTTGAAAGACGATTGACCTTCACGATAACGCCATAGCTCTGGGATTCAAATGTTTGAATGTATTTCTAGGATCTCTGAGGACCTGAATTGAAGTGTTTTAAGTTGTAGGATCCATATGCCTCTGCTGTTATTCTCAACAATGAAGAACAACTGTTGTTGTGAATTCTCTGTTGGACATGGTCATTATCCAAAATGAAGGTTTATCACGATATGTATCGTATCTTGGCGTTGTGGGAAATACCCAGCCCTAGCCTTAAGCATCCTGGCTAAGAGTTATAACGCGCCTGCCTGTCAGTCAGATCAGACACACCCCTAATTATGTGTAACTCTGAGAGAGACTCAATATAATCAAAACCGAAATGCTGTGAAGCTATTAAATCGGCAAGAGCACTTTTAGAAACAACAACTGCACCTGCACTATTTGAACACTTGAGATTTAAAATTTGGCATGCCTCGTTATATCCCTCTCTTTGTTCCTTCTTGTTAGTTTACTGGTTTAAACTAGTTGACTTCACATGGTTGCATTCTTACTTCTTTACTAAGCTTGTTTAACAGCAGCCTGAGCTCGACTATCATGAAATACATTCGATGTTGAAATGGTCCACAGTGTAGGCAGGATCATTAAAAAAAGCATGTTATAAAACCTGACGCTTCACTTTGTTTTCATACAATCATTCTAAGGAGACAACAAAGCAAACATTAGTAGAATAAGTTTGCATTAATTGATTCATCGGTAAACCGAGGACAGGACAGATGTTGTTTCAGTGAATATGGAGGCAGATTCTTAGTTAATATTAAAGATGAAGCACAGGGACAGAGGTTGTGTCTGTGCAGTTTAAATGTGAATTACCCGACAGTGTGACAGTGATGAACCTCTGCGTCTGGAGGGCTGCTTTCTGAGTGGAAACAAATACGATGAAATATCATTACATACAGGACACACAGGGCAGTTTGAGTAAAGGTAGCTTTTTTAATGACCTCTGAGTGACCTGAGTGTCTTCCACTACACACTACATGCAGGTATGTATTATATGTATTACAGGAGACAGGAGTACTGAGACAGGGAAGTCGTAAAATAAAAACAATATTATGTCAGTTATGTGAACAAAGTTTTATTATTTGTTTGTTTTTCTGCTTCAGGCTTGTACAACCGAGGCTTTATTTATTTGGACGTTCCCATATCTGATGACAGCTGCATTTCAGGTATATAAGTGTGTGTGTGTGTGTGTGTGTAGTTTGAATATCCTGCCTTTATCCCCATCTGACTGATTACCTTGAATAACTCTGTATGTACTTAAATAGATGAGTGTTGTGAGTGTTGGACTTGCACTGTTCTGAGATGGTGTGATGACATCACTTGTTTGCACGGTTATTGACCACTCTTTGTGTCTTTAGTGCCCCCGTTGGAAGGCTTCGTCATGAACCGTGTGCAGGGCGATTACTTTGAAACGCTTCTTTACAAAATCTTCGTGTCCATCGATGAGCAGACAAATGTGTCCGAGGTACGCACTAAGAAGGTTATTCTTACAGCGCTTGAGCTGCCGTGCTCATTGAATGTAAACAACATGTGAACGTGTGTTTAACTGTCAATCACCTCTTCACTGCTTTTTAAAAAAAATCTCTCTCTTTCTCATGATCGTCCGTCTCCTGGTGGCTCTCAGCTGGCGAACGTGTTGGAGATTGACTTGGACTTAGTAAAGGTATGCATCCTGAATGTGCATGTATAAATGTGAGAACATGGCCAGTTTAAGCAAACTTTAAAATTAAACACTGACTGGAAGAGGGATGTCACTTTCACTGGTTCTGTTGTGGTTCTGAATAGTTTTTTTTAATTTAATTTAATTTAATTTAATTTAATTTATTAGGATTTTCTAAAAAGGCAGGTACAAGAGTGAACCAGGTTGAAGGTTGGATCAATCAACAATATAACAGATGACATCGTATTAAAAAGGAAATATAGTTTCCCAGGAAAAGAAAGGTGAAAACCAGAAAAAGGAATTGTAGACGATGTCTCATGAGACGAGAGGTATTGAATAGATTTTGAGACGTACTTTTGCCTCTCTGCATGCCTTTATAAGGCACACAATAAAACTGTAGAAATAAATAAAGTGAACAGCCTTTCTTATTATTTTTCATAATTAATTTTTTGTGCCATATATTTATACTTCAGTAAGGCATCGTATAAAAAGATTAAGCCAATTTAACACAAAGGTGTTATCGCTATTTAAAATAAGCTTTTTTTAAGGTTTGATTTGTTCAGTTTGGATTCTGCCTACTCGCTGTAAATCTCTCTTTACTATCATTTTAAAGGATTAATATGTAACTCTGACACCTAGCGTTTAAAATGGGTACTGCAGTCAAAATTCTAAACATTTAGAGAGCGCTATCTCCTTCGCCCCCTCCTTCTGCAGTCAGTGTGCATGCAGACTGCTATGCTGTGGACACTGAAGCTTCAGTGTTTAATCAGCTCTACATCGGTCTTGAAAGCTTTCAGCGTTCCAACCTCCCTTCATTTTTCAAAAGAATCTCCAATATTAATCTTAGTTTGACCACATTTCTGGTCTGTTTAGCCTATAAGAAAAAAGCTGAGGCTTTTTACTTCCATCACTGCAACACCTGTTGGTGGCCCTGAGGGGTGTCCAAAACTGAAGTGTGGGGGGGGGGCTTGATATGCCTACCTTCTCTGGTCAAAACAAAAACAAACCATTTCGCACCAGAATCTGTTGTAGAAAGTAGAAAGTTCAGCACAATTTGGCTGTTTCTTTCAGGAAACATACTCACAGCCTCAGCACATGTGAGATAGACCTGCACACACACACCCGCACACACACACACACACACACACACACACACACACACACAGGCATTGTTTCAGGTTAGGTCCCTCCTGCCCCGTGACTCTACCAGAGGGCCGAGCAGCAACATTCCAGTTGAATTGGTGCTCCAGTATGACCCAGTTTTCCCCAGTTTCCTTTTCACTCCCCATCAGACATGAAGCCAAGACTCCCTCTCAGAGTCCTGACCTTCTGCGTGAAGAGCTGAACTCTGCAGTCCCTCAGTCACATCTCATCTCTGCTGCAGAAACACAGCACTTATGAGAAGTGGTGGAAGGCGGCGTCTGCAGGAGGAACCCTGTGACTTCTGAGATGATTGAAATGTCTGAGAGGTCTCCCTTGTGCTGAACTTTTTCCTGCCGTGACTTAAGCTGAACTTTCTCTTGTGTAATGACTACACTCACAGCCTGAGACACTTGAAGCTTGTGCTACTTTTGATATGATAAGAGGGTGACAGAGAGTTGACCTCAGCCTGCACCCGTGGGGGCAGGATGGTTCAGAAAGTAATCAAGCCCACCATACTTGACTGTGGTGGCGTGTTCGGGCTGAATACGAGATTAAAAATGCTCGGCAGGCAGATGACAGTATGAATGAAAGAAATCATGAAAAAGCCAGCCAGCAGTTTAATTGGAAGTAGACACTACCACCTGTTTAGTGTCCTATTTTCAAGCTTTGATTTTTAATTGTTCCTTCTCAAAAGAAACACTCAGGACTTCACATCAATCCATCTTTCACAGAACTAGTAATCCTAGTAATCCTAGTAATCCTTTCTCACAATGCAGGGATTTTATTTTACATTATCTTAAATAGAGTTCTAAGTCTTAGAAGGTTTCAAATTGCCTTTCTTTAAAGTATAAGCAATTACTGTTGTCAAATAGAATATCACAGCCAGAAAACATATGAAATACTCTCAATAACATCGCTTTTCTCCTGATCATATCTGGCGTTAAATCCTCCTCTATTTAAAAGGTCCAGTTTTGTCTACAGGTCAGTGATTGTTGAACTATAGCAGCGAAGGAATATCAGACTAAGAATGCCTTTTTACTGCATTTTTACTGTGTTTTCGCAGAATGCAGTTTCCATGTACTGTCGCCTCGGCTTCGCTGTAAAGAAAGGTCAGGTGTTGGGCTCTGAGCAGCTCCACCCCACCTGGAAGAATGCCCCATCTGTCAACAGGCTCAAGTATGTGCTGGGTGTGCAGGTGGTCAATAATCCAAGTTGATCTTTTCTTGGAAAGAATCTGTTGAAACCCATTTATTAAAAAAAAAAAAAAAGCACATTTTAAGTTCATGAGACAGTCAAAGACTTATTTTAGGATCCTTACTCTCATGTGATAAGAAAATAGTAGTTTGGGTCTTTAGCATCCATTCATCTTTTAGAGAAGCTTTATTTCTCTAAATTTTGCAACATTCGGATAAACATGCCCCCAGAGCTTAATGAAGTGTCTGTGTCGTCTGTGTCAGGAGCACCATGGACCCTCAGAAGATGCTGCTGTCCTGGGAGCAGGGCAGTCCTGTCATGGAGGGAGGCTCCTCAGCCACAGACACCGACACCACCAGTCTAGAAGATCAAGGTCAGTCTGCCTACACACACACACACATATGCACCACCCTTACTCGCAATTTCCACATAGTCTGTGGGCGTTGCGTTTTGTCTGCGCCACGCACTACGGTGCCGTTAGCACCCACTCTAGTCAATGATTGTGATACCACAGCAGGCGGCACCTACTACAAGCAGACGTGAAGCACGCGTCTAGCTGAACAGAGTAGATCGACCCAGACATGAAGTTAGACAAAAAAATGCACAGTATCCGGTCAATTTCAAAATAAAACACAATATACAAACTCCTGATCGTATATTCCATCACTTTATCAACATTACGTCAAAATAGGCATCGAATAAACAACAGATTGTCCACAGAAAGACAAAGCAACATGTTGATTCACATTTTTTTTGTTATACTCCGGCATGATCTTGTCGTGATTTTGTGAGACTGTGAGACTGTGCTTATGCTTCAGAAACAGGTCCAGTGGGGTAGGGCACACGTAGTAGGATGGAGCTAAACCCTAGTGCTGATGGAACACAGCGAGGCCGGACTATGTGGACATTGGGGGGTTACACATTTTAACAAACGCAAACACACAAACAACCTGAAGTGTGCACACTCATTTCTTCTTCTTCTGAAAGTCATTCGCTCATTAACAGATGTTTTTGTCTGAAGACGTCTTATTTCTGGTCTAATTTTGCCTTTGTTATGCAGCACTGTTTATCAACCACATTCATTTGTGTGAAGCAATTGAGACAGAGGCTTGGTTTGTGTTTGTCCTTCTAAACACATGACTCATATCTTAAGTGTCAGTTTATTACTTCTATGAGGCTGTGATATTTCATACATGTTGATGGATGTTCTTGGTGTGTGATTTCTCTGCCTGCAGCAGACACAGCCAGCGTCAGCAGCCTGAGCATTCCAGTAGCACCCACCAAGAGGATCGCCTTCCTCTTTGACTCCACTCTCACAGCCTTCCTGATGATGGGCAACCTTTCTCCGGTGACTGAACATACAGAGTCCAAGTTAACGGAGACAGGATTCTTTTGATAATACACATTTGATCATTGTGAATGCTTTGTGTCTGTGTCCTATCAGAACCTGAAGAGTCATGCTGTGACCATGTTTGAGGTGGGGAAGCTGTCTGATGAGACTCTGGACAGCTTCCTGGCTGAGTTAGAGAAGGTGAGACGGAAAAGCAAGATTATTTTGTGTTTTTGTTTAACTCTGCCAAGAAACAGGTATACCACATACTGTAGATGCACATCCACACTGTTTTCTCTGTTTATTTGTCTCCAGGTGGAGAGCACAGCAGAGGGCGAGGCCCAGCGTTACTTTGACCACGCTCTGACCCTGAAAAACACCATCCTTTTCCTGCGCTACAACAAAGAACTGACTCAGGATCAGGGACCTGATATCCCAAATATAGGTAAATTTACAGATACAATTTACATGTCCAACCTCTCCCACACTACATGTCTACACATGTGATGGCCAGCAGCTTCAATTAGACTACTGTATGTACGTTTTGGTTTTCAGGGTTTCTTTGGCCTTTGAGCCTTTGCCTACAGTTTCCTTGGTTCCCAAAGTTACTTTCTCTACCGGCTTTTGAAATAATGTGTGAAGACTAAGGCTTCCAACTTTAGAAAGTTATTTCAAAATCACTTTTAAACCTGCATGTGTAAGTCAGAGTGATAATTCAGATTGAATGGGATGAAGAGTAATTCTGGTCGAAGGAATTTTGATGAAAATGTTTGTGTCTTGCTTCAAACAACAGAAGGCTTATTATTTTCAGTGAAAAGCATGATTTATTTTTTTATTCAGCTTTTAATTTAAGGTATCATTGTGAACAAATCAGGGTACAAATCAGTTTTGGGGGGGGGGTATCTAGTGTCTACTGTTCACTTTATCCTGACTCTGTTATCGAAAAGAAACTCTGAGCTTTAAAATCCAGAGCTTCATTTCAAAGACATTTTTATGGGACGGTGAGTGAAGCTGAAAAGTGTTTTGAAGAATCAAAGAGGACGTGGATCTTCTCTTTCTCTCTCTGTCTTTGTGTGATTCTCTGCCCTCTGTCTCATCTCTCACCTGTGTCTGAAGAGTTTCTCTGAACACTAGTGGCACATATATCTGGATCTAGAGGCAGACTGAGAGTAAAGCTGTATTGTTCTACTTGTGTCTCTAGGGGGAGCAGCAGAGGAAATCTCTTAGTTTCTATGTAGCTACCACAGTGACACCAGATGCTGTTTGTTTGTTCTTGGCGGCTTGCCTCACTCCTGATTGTCTTATCTCTCAGCCCTCCTCAGCCGCTGCTCCAGGAAAAAAGAGAATGCACTGAGAGGCTGCTGGCAGAGGCTGAACTAAACCCACAATGATACAAAAGTCTTGTGATGATCCCGGTGTTTATTCATTGAGGAAGTGAGGGAAGTTTACACTGCCAGCAAACCTCTCTGCAGACTAGACTCTTCTTTGCTCCTTTGTTCTTCAGTGCAATACTGAACAATAATAATCAAAACGAATTCTGAGTGACAGCCCAGAGGCTCTGAGACACACTTATTCTTTAGAGCACTAGACACTTGCAGAGTCTAAAAAAGCAGGTACATTAGATGTAGGACATACAGAGTATGAAGCAGTCGTCTCATTACATGCTGTATTTGATTGAAGTGGCATATTGCCCTTCATATTGAGGGAGAGCCATTTAATTGATTCCAGTCACTTCATTGCATCTGTTAAGCTTGACTGGTATGGATTTATGGCTATCGTCTCTGGGAGGGATGTAGGACTTTCACACAATTTCTTTTTCCCAGAGGAGCTGTATATGTGAACACAAACAGACACATTTTTCGCTCTGACTTCACCCCGAGTTTCTCCTGCCAGCCCCCTATTATTTTTTCCGTAGCAAGTCGGAGTGAGCAGATGTTAAGATGCAGCAGGATATTATCTGGAAAATTCCCTCGAGCCAATAGGAGGGTGGGGGTGACATTTATATATTGTTACTGCTGCCCGGTGCATAGAGTGTATGCACGTGACCGTCTTCAATCTCCAAGCACGTAATAAAACAGCTGCATTATGTTTTCTGTTCTCCAGTACAGTATGTTGTTCTGTGCGCTTTAGTTGATGTCGTCATTCCGTTGAACTACGCGTAGCATTGATATAAAGGCAAATATTCTAATTATAGCGTTGTATAGCAGACTCTGTTGCTTTGTCTGCTGCTTTCGGCTCATTCATTTTACGTCATGTCTTACCTCAGACAAGGCGTAAAAGGGGCGTAAATATCCTGCTGTCACATGACAATATGTAAGTGACATCTGTATGATTGTAAAAAATAAGTCACACAGAGGCTTCACTGTGGCTTACTACCTCTGCCTGTACAAAATAAACTGATTATCTTCTGATTTACTTTCAACTAATAGCTCTCCAGTTTGCTGAAATAACTGCATCATGATGCAGAGTTGTAACATTTCAAATGTTAGCGTTGTCAGGTTTGTCCTTAAGATGGAAAGAAAATGCTTGTGTGTTGAATGGAGGTTGGACCGCTCTTTTTTTTTTTTAATTCATCCCAGGAAGTCAGGAAATCTACATGCTGAGTGGCTGTTGAGACACAGCGTTAGATTGTTAGCTGCACGAGACCCCAGATTAATGGAACACCTCTCTGCAGTTCAAATACACCTCCTTCCTCTTAGATTACTGCGCAGCAGGGAAACTTGATTGTTACATTTTAAGACGTACTCGGAAATGATGTTCTTTACAAGTCATTTTAGTGGGAACACTTTTTAACACCTCAACTATGAAAAGGAAATAGATTTTCCGGTGTGTCCTCACAGGAGGCAGAGGAACTTTCAGGATTTTAATTTTGACTCCTTCCTCTTCCTTTTGTCACATACTGGACAAGAATAGTTTGGCATGTTGTAAAAAAAAAAAAGCTTTCACGATTTCTTTTGGGAAATATAATCATTTAATCTCTTTTGATACTACTTTGGAGGACGGCGGGCTAGCTTAGCTTAGCATAAAGTTTTGGAACTGCAAGTAAATGGTCGACGCAATCGTGTACTTCAGATTCAACATATGAACTCTCTCAATGCCGATACGTACTCATAGACGACACAGAAAAGTGAACGTCATGCATTTTCCCTTCTCTCCAACTTTTCAGAATATTTGATATGAATGTTTGTGTCTGTGTTTTTTCCCTGTTCAGGTTTCCCCTTGGACATGTTGCGGTGTGAGAGCCTGCTTGGTTTGGACCAGGCTACCTGCAGCCGCGTCCTCAACAAGAACTACAAGCTGCTGGTCTCGATGGCCCCGCTCAGCAACGAGATCAGACCCATCAGCAGCTGCACGCCTCAGGTATGATGCCTTCAGGGTGACAGACAGGGAGAGAGGGATACTGTGTGACGTGAGGGGTTGTTGGATCAAATGCTGCCTGTGTAAGAGTTGTGTGTTTGCATTTTACTCCACATGCATTTATATTTTTGGTCTGTTGTGTTTGCCCTCTTTCTTTGTGTGTGCTCTTGTAAGCCTGGAGTTATTTGTGACTTTGTGTGTGTACTATGTTGGTTGTGGGCACTCAGCTTTCTGTTGCCCCTGACAACAAAACTACACAAAGAGAAAGAGAGAGGAGAGGAGGGGAGGAGAGGCTCATGGGTAATTCCTCTGCCTGGCCTCACTCCAGCTGTCTAACTGAGCTCAGAGAGACGGAGAGAAAAAGTTAAACTGTTGTTGTTCCACTCACGTTGATGTTTATTCTCGCACCGCTGGGATCCAACCAAGCAGAATTGAATTAATTATTTTATTTGCTCACATCTCTAAAAAGCAGTTTCAGTCTCTGCATCTCTGACAAGGACACAAATTGTCCCAGTTCATCTCTTGTTCATTTAAAGTTTGTGTTTTGGATTGTTGTCTCCCGTTAATAAGATTGTCTGAGGATGTCTTTGCATTTGTTTAATGGTGTGTACATCTTTTCTTTTCCTCCTTGCAGCACATCGGCCCGGCCATCCCTGAGGTGAGCTCCATCTGGTTCAAGCTTTACCTGTACCAAGTGACCGGCCAAGGCCCGCCCTCTCTGCTGCTCTCCAAAGGCTCCAGGCTTCGCAAACTGCCCGACATATTCCAGGTAAGCCCGCTCATATGATTAATCAGGCAGGTAGGTTTAATGAGCATACGGACATGGTCGAGTGAGTAAATGTATGCTGATGTGGTATTAATAACTCCCCTGAAGTTGGATAAGAAAACCTCCATCTGTGATCAGAAAAAGAATCCTTTGTTCGATCAAACGGGAACAGGCATCACAATCTTAGCTGTACCACACTGTGCACCTGCTTCTTCTTCCTCCGAGGCCTCTAAGTGGTCTTTGAAATGTTCTCACTTATCCTTGGAATGTGAGAGTGGAAACAGAAGAGAATTTGGAGAATTCCCATGGGAGGACAGGTAATATGTAAATGGGACACTTTATGAGAACACAGCAGCATGTACTTTCATGCTTGTTGTCTTTTGGCTTTTAGTTTAACATATATATTTTTTTACAGGAAACTTAGAGTATTTAGTCACCTTCACCCCTTTTAGTCCTTCCAAAGTCAGAAGGAAAGCAGTAGCGCAGAGGTTTAATTGTTTAATATTTTTACCCAGTAGAAGTGTGGAAATGTTATTTTGGTTGGAGAGCACTGAGGCTTGTGCTTCCTTTTCCTGCTTTTATAACTGTGATTTTCCTACCAACATGTCTTTCTGACCGGATATATTAAATAAATAAATCCTGTTTTGCCTGCCCCTAACTCAAAAAGGAAAAACAAGCATTATCTAGATGGTCTGTCCAATTACAATCACTTGGCAACCAAAACCATGGCAACATAAAACAAATATTTGACTTCACTTCTACATAAATAAGGAGAAAATAAACAAAACAAACTCACTGCCAATTTCATACAGTCTTATAATTCTCTCCTTGTGCATTTTCTTAAAGTGAAATATCTGCACACAGCTCTTCAAATCATTATTTAAAGAATTTCCACACTTTGATTCCTACAACAGAAATAAACATCTGTTTTAAAGTTGTCCGTGCAAACTGATGCTTCAAATTAAACATTCTTCATCTTCTCAACTAAAAACAAACATCTTTTGTAGACTTTCTGGTAATACTTTACTCTTTGCTCTGAACATAACTATGAGTGAAACTCAACTGAATCTTTAATTTTTAATATTATATGACTTCTACTAATCGTCTAGCATGATTTTCTGTGTTGAGGGCTGTGATGCTGTCTCTCACCAGCAGCTGTGAAACAATTCCTTGACCCTTTTTTTTTCTGTTGCAGTTGTACGACCGGTTGCTGATCACATCCTGGGGTCATGACCCCGGAGTCGTCCCAACATCCAACGTGCTGACCATGCTCAACGACGCCCTCACACACTCTGCTGTGCTTATTCAGGTAAACACACAGAAAACCCTCGTTTTACAGAGAGGGTATTTCTGTTAAGTGAATACGAACTTTGTTTGTGTTTTGTATCCACTCCTTGTATGTTGTATACACTGTGTAATCTGTAATGTGTGTGTAATCCTCAGGGTCATGGTATGCATGGCCATGGAGAAACAGTTCACATCCCATTCCCCTTCGATGAGGAAGACCTGAAAGGAGGTGAGTTAGTTATTACATTTGCATAAATCTGTGAAATCACTTCTTGTGTTAACATTTTTGCAGCTCGTTTGTTGTTATTATATGTGCTTATTCTAAGTCAATGTGAGACTGAATAATTATCTTTATTAAAGTAATTTAGTCCAAATCCTGTGAAGTCTTATGAGAGCATATTTTAACTGAGTCATACCAACAGAAACTGGATAAATGCATGAGTCAGCTTTCAGTGTTTGAATGTAATAGTCACAGAAAAAAGAGGTGATGTTAAAACTTTCTTTCACTCTAAAGCTGCACTTTTTAGTACATAATGCAGGATTCAGTCATTATATAATGATTCTCATAATACTATTATTATAGAGACGTTATATTGATATATTCAAAGCCATGCTGTGGATAAATGGTTAACAGAACCTCAGTCAAGCTGAACTCTTTCCTCTGGTGACTCAAACATTCTGTTCAAGCTTTGAGGATTTGGACTAGGATAGCTTAAATTATTTTAATATGCAAAAGTCTATTTTAAGCTTAATATGAACACACTCAGGATTTAACGTGCTCTGGAGAAACTGCTTTGGATATGACTTTATATGCTCTGCAGATATCAAAAGAAGGATCTTAAAGCATCACTCTTATTGTCCGTGTTGCTTCCTCCCCCTGTTCAGAGTTCTCCTACTCCAACATGTGCTCACACAAGTCCCTGCAGAAGCTGAAGGAGCAGGTAGACCTGAAGCATCAGTGTGGCTACATCACCATGCTCAACTCCAACAACAGGCACCGCCGCCGGGCCAGCGACACGGTTGAGTGCAGAGGTGGGAGCGTGCAGATGTGTGAATTTGAGAAAAGATGCATAGTTAAATCAGCAACAATGTTCTCACCTCTGATGGCTGTTGGCACTGATGGTGCAAACTAGATAAATATTGCCTCACAGTCCACTTTAATTATCCTGTCTGTCTGCATAATTGTGTCTCTGATTGTGATAGCCTTTGCTAATGGCCGTGGATCGAACAGTATTAACCTTTACTTCCAGATTTACTCATTAAACCCTGCTGACATAGGAGATCACACATTGTTTGAAATAGATTTTTATTCTGATGGAGTGTTCCTTTTTTCAGACAATACTAAAAAATAATGTGAGGAAAACTGCATTGTGTTGAATCTTTTATAAAGGAAAGTAGTTCAAAGTTCAATGAAACATAATGAAGAAACAAAACAATAAAACAAAACTGGCAAATGAAAAAGGCACAAATACTACAAATACCAAGCAAACAAAAAATACTATTTGAGAACAAAGTTGTTAATACATATAAAAAATTGTAAATTTTTCAGTGGGTTACAAAAATGTTAAAGGTCACATATTATGCAAAATACACTTCATGTTTTTCTCACACTAACATGTGTCCTTAGTCTGTCTACAAACCCCCCGATTATGAGAAAGGTCCATCCTTCTCCACTTTTCAGAATTTTCCCTTTGTGACATCACAAAGGGCAGTAACCCCTCCTCCATGTAGGTGACAGCGCAGGCTCAGCTAAAGAGAGAGCATGTCTGTTTTAGTTAAAGGCTTGCAGTAGATTTCTTATAAACCGACCTCTGTTACCTAACTGAAACAGTTTTGTATAAACTAAAGGTTAAAGGTGTGATGTGTAGAATTTTAACACTAAAAATATCTCCATTAATAAAAAATGGACTAAACCTATGTTATATATACTTTTTGTTAAGTATTTAAATTACCTCAAATATTTCCAACAGTTCTCCAAGCTAGAGAAATCCATAGTTTTATAGTTGTAATGCCCAGTGTATTTCGTGGCAGTTGCCCTGACACATCGTCAATAAACAGCTTCCTCGGGTCTGTTTTGCCCGTTCGTCTTGACTACGGTCAACTCATAGTTCATTTCCATCGGGGGTGGGGGGAGGTAGCAGAGATTACTCCCGTGATTCCCCGCCAGCCTCGACGTCATGTTTTGTTATTGTTTTGATCGAGAGCCCCCTGGCGGTGATATTTAAATACTGAAGGTCCAATCATTTCCTATCAACTTTGTGCTTAAGTAGACACTTGTTGCTTCTGTTCAAAGGGGACACACATCTGGGTGGAGGCCTGGACACAAACGGCAGCACTGAGTCCTTCGAGCTGGTGACAGAAGAAAACAACGTGGAAGGCAAAGCAAAGACAGACGGTAGGTTTACCTGTTAGACTTGTATTTTTATTTGATATTCACTCCATTTAGTCTCGTGTTTTAGAGTTATAGATGATGTTAGATACAGTGAAGACGTGGCTGAACTGCAGAGGTTCAGGTTTCTCATGTCGTCATGTATGTTCCCCTCGTCCCTCCTCTCCCTCTACAATCTCTCTTTCAGCACTTTCCTCTGAAGACGAGTGGGTCCCTCTCGAACTGTGCTTCGGCATGCCTCTCTTCAGCTCCGAGCTCAACCGCAAAGTGTGTCGAAAAATCGCCACGCATAAATTATGCAGCAGCGAAAGGTAAAAAAAAAAAAAAAAAGAACTCACCAAGCATCTTCCAAAGTTTCAGACTTTTGTTTTAGAGAGAGATAAGTGTTGTTGGGAGGAGACACTAAATCTTTGTTGTTGTTGTTGTTGTTGTTGTTATTGTTGTTGTTGTTGTTGTTTCAGCCTTCAAGAGCTTCTTCACTCGAGCAGAAAGCTATCGTTGAAGGTGTTGAGCTTCGTTCAGTCATTCCAGGTAAAAACACTCTGCTCTCTCTGAACGGGAACACTTGAGAATACTCGAGGAAAGAGAAGAAACAACGCAGAGCGAAGATATCTGAAGTTGAGATTGATTTTAAGATTGAGTGATTTAGATTTAATCAACATTAATGCTTTATAAATGTAGTCGATTACTACATTTCCAATCTGTTTTGGATACAACGATGTTTACAGTATGCGGTGTAGAGAGTTTGGCTTGACCAATTCTTTCAAACTTTCATTCAGGCAGTGAACCACGACAATCTTTGAGGACAGGATTTTTGTAACAGTGTGGAAAAAACACAAATTTGTTATCTAAACAGAATCTTGAAAGGAGTTCAATAAATATGAGCACTTTATTTTATCATTATCATGAGAAACAAGATCATTCAGACCACATTCTTTCGATGAATCGTTACCTCTCTTTATTTTAAACTATATCTAACACATACAGATTTGATGATATGACCCACAGCCAGCTTAAGAATAAACTACAGAGAATAAACGTCTTGTATTCTGGTATATATTTTTATTCTAGTCAAATGTAAATGAAAAGACAGAGCATTAATACTCCTTGGTCTTGGTACTCCAAGCGGGTGGCCCAGGTTTTAATCCTGCCTGTGGCTCCTTTTCCGCATGTCATTCCCCTCTCTCTCGCTCCCTGATTTCCGACTCTAGCCACTGTCCTATCTCTCTATTAAAGGCACAAAAATAAATATTTAAAAAAAATAAAATTAGCAATGGGTTTACAGCTGGTTCGAGCAATCCTAGTTATTTGTAAAAGTGTAACTCTAAGAATGCGATTGAAGTGAAAATGTTAAGCAGAAAGGTAGTAGTTTAAATTGAAAGCATTCTGCCCCTTTCTTCATTTTTCAACTCCTATACTCCTATCTACAGACTCTTGAACTGACTTGTTTTTTGTTTTTATTTTAGAAAGAGAGAAGTTCCCTTTGTCCCACATACATCCCACTGTGTTTTGATCTGTGACTCGTGTTCCTCTGTTGGCAGGACGGTAACCAGACCTGTGACATGGACAGCGGTGTGTCGAACCCTCTCAGTCAGCCCCCCGCCGAGTCCGGTGTCCCTCTGCCCGCCATCAACCTCCTCTTCAAGGAAGGGCAGCTGAAGGAGTGGAGCGGGCGGGCCCCCCCTCCTCTGGACATCTCAGCTCTGCAGAAGGATCAACCCACATAAACGACAACCCCCCCCCCCCCCCTCCCCCCAACCAACTAAAAACACACAGATTTTGTCATGAGGAAAAAATTCTTAACCAAGGTCCAACACTGCATCCTCATATCTGCTCACGAGGAAACGCTCATCCATGTCCGTCAGTATCAAGTCATGGGGAGGTCCTCGCCGGCACTTTGTCATCACTGTTTGAGGAATCATCCTCCTGAGATTAGTTTGAAACCCCTTCCCCTCTGTGGTTTCTTGTATTCGTGGCACGGCAGTGTTTTTTTTTTTTTTGGAGTGGTGCTATCATCACGTTATATAACAGTGATGCAGGTAAACAGCACACCACCTGGTGGAGCGTTTAAGTGGAAGTGCTGTACTTTCCACCTTTCTCCAGCTCCACCTTTCAATCATTGGATGTGTTGTGATCATTGAAAGCAGAGTGTAAAGTGGTTGATATTGTGTAGATGTTCTGGAAAAAAAAATGATCCACTGAATAAAAAAAGTGTTGAACAAACTCCTTCAGGAATCATTTGACGATATGCATATAAAGAAGAGTCCAAATCCAGACCTCCACCCCCCCTTCCTGTGCTGTCTCATGTTAGGTGATCTGATGATGCATGATACTGTTGCAAAAAACATGCACCATTAAAAAAAAGTATTCTCCTCTTCACTCGCATTCAATACTGGGAGCATTTACTATTTGCACTGCGCAGGATTTCGTCAGACCTGTGGATGAAGTCGATTTCATGTTTTATTTGTATCAGTTGGTTCCGGTAATATTCCCGCGCACATTATTTCAGAGCTGTTTGCCACTAAAACGGTTTCCTTTTGGGATCTCAGACATGTGAGGAAAAAAGTGGGAATCAAATAAACTGCTGTTTTTTTATTTCAATGTTTTTTTTCTCAGTTAAAGAGAACACCAAAGACCATTTTCTTCTTATGTCTAATGTTTTTTTTTTTTTTTGAATGTGTTTTACTTTAATTTAGTTGCCTTATGACTCTCAGCCAATCATAAACTGACAGGTCTTTGATCAAAGCTCTAGATTTGATTTTCATATGTTTTTTTTTTAAATGATGTTTTTGCATTTCAGTAAGTGTATTTAACCAGTGAAAGCAACAACATTGGCTCACAAGCATCCAACTATCAGCCCTTTTAAAGAATATAAGGAGATTATCTGAGTGTACCTAACAGCAGAGAATGGGAACAGTCATGTCTGTGTGTTTGACCGGGCCTGCTGCCACTGTTGTCTGCTGCCAGTGTCTCCCCCTGGATCCACTCCAGTTTGTGTGCAGTGCTTTGTGGTGCACTCTCTTCCAGCTCGCCCCACTCTCCCAGGGATACTGTTTACACCCTGTAGTAAAAAAAAAAAAAAAAAAGGAGGTCTAGAGTCCAAGGAGAGGAAGGCAGCTTCGATGTGAAGGCTGTCTCAGACCCGTGGGACAGAGATGCTTATGCTTTACCCAGCCTCTCAGAACGATGCTGGCCCATAAAGCGATGTGTGGCTCCAAAATTACTTTTCATGCATTTAAAGTGAGAACCCATTCTGTGATTTTTTTTGTCTTCATTTTTGGAATCAGCCTTGTGCAGTTTTTGACCCACTTGTGGTTGTTTCTAAAGAAGTGACTCTGAAATGCACAAAAAAAGAGACTAATATGAGGTCCTGTTGAAGCATGATGACTGTGTAGAAGCTGTCATGCGTATGTTGTGTATGCGTGTGTTGTACACCTCACTCTTGGTGTGTTTTCACACCTTTCACAATGAAGAGTCCCCTCAAACTAGCCTGTCTGTTCTCTAGTTACAGTTCTCGGTCATCTCAGATACCCCTCCATCTTCCCATGGTATAAATCCACCACAGTGTTTCAAAAAAAAAATGCTAGTTTTATATGTCTGCATATATTTTAGAAACTCTTTGTTGTAGCTTGTTTAATGGGACTGTGAATATTATGACAGAATTAATAATGATGTAATTAAATGGGTGGAAAAAAAAGAAAGTGACATTCCTTCTAAACGCCCTTCCTCCCAATCTTTTCTCCACCATCCCTCTCCTCCAGATACATATTACTACAAATAAATATGTAAAAAGTATATGAAAGTATAAATAAATATGTAATAAATTTTTCCTCCCTGAAATGTACTTTGTGGTTATGTACTGCTGGTCTCAGCCAATACTGGCTCTGTAGCCAATCACATTACATGATAATAACCCTTACGTGCTATGTTTTCTAAGCCAGGTGGAACAGATGGAGTACAAGACACAGCGGTCCGCATGCTCTGTCCATCTGCCTTCAGTATTCACTGGCTCAACTACCTTTTAGATTAAAAAGTTGTAAAACAATGTCTGATGCATGCGTGCAAAGTCTTCGAAAATTATGGGAAAAAATGATTTTTTAGGAGGAAAATGAAGATGTATGTGTGGCTGTGGACCCTCTCCAAATTGTCCAGGTCTCCCAGGTCTCCCTGCTCCAGTAATTTCCCGGCCCCACAAATTACAGTGTGTCACCGACAGGGCACTAAGTGTAAACTGGGTCATGCCACCTGAGGATAGGAAGCTGTGAGAAGATATCCAATGTGCTACATTTCAGCACTCTGACAGATGATTTCTATGCTTACACCCTAAGACCTGCTCTAACACTTGGGGAAGGTGTCATTCATTCTGTACATTTGTTATTTTTGACAGCAGTCATGTGCGTTACTGAGAAAATAATGGAAATAAAAGAAAGATAGAACAGTTTTACACGGGAATGATTTGTGATCCAAAGCTGGTGAAAGGTCAGTGAAATGATTCCGGCCTCATTTCAAGTGAAAGTGGAACTACAGCAGCAGATAAAGTTCCTTTGAATTGTGCTTCCCCATTGTCAGGTCGGGTCATAATGCCAGTTTCGTTTGGACCTTCATTTAATGAGAATCAAAGAGATATTATTCATATTTTATCTGTATTGCATTAAAAAATAACAGAAAGGAACAAATCTGTAGCGTAACTAATTAAGATATTATATCTTTATTTAACCTCGGATTTAGAAGGGGGCATCACTTCCATTATAGGAAGAAATTTACTTTAACTGTATAAGTTAATTAATTAATCAGTCAGTTTCATATCTTGAAAGAAGTAAGTTCTGGAAATGTTAAGCAAGAAAACACACAGACAAAGTCCTGAATTTTATGTGTAAAATTTAACATAAAAAGGGGTAAACAATAATGTATAGATGAAACAGATAAAGAATATGATTATTATGATCAGGATACTGCAATTATAATGTATGGTGACATTATATATTTAGTAATGAGATAAGACTCGGTATTGTTTGAATGACTTAATCAGAAAATGATCAAAAAAGGAAAAAGTTGATAAAGGAATTTTGGGATTCTATTTGGATTTAAAGGAGGGCTCTGAATAGGCACGACTCACGACTTAATCTCCCAACACCAGCAAACAGCACTCTTACTGTGAGTTGTGTTTGATTAAACTCCGCCGGCTGGTCCCGTCTTTGGGGTCAATTCATAGATCGTAAAGTGTTCTGTTTGAGCTTGTATGTTTACTCAATGCATTGTAAAAGTTTATAATATGTTGTCCTCCAGAGCTTGTCTGAGAGGAGACTTAAATCATTGATCAGTTCCTTTGTTTCTTGGTAACAAGTAACCAAAATGTTAATCCACCTTCCTGAGTCCTGCAGAAAGAGAGGCTGTACAACTCTACTAAAACTAAATCTACTAAAACAAAAAGTAATGCACTGTTTTGACTTTAATGCTAGCTTCAGTATGCTTACAATGAAAATGCTAACATGAAGATGTTTAGCATGATGGCATGCTGAGGGAAACGCCTTGAGTCACTAAGGGACTTGACTTTTGACCAGATGATGATGGCACCTAAAAGAAACCCTGGGACGATATAAACTTTAATAACAATTCATCCAATGAGACCTAACTCTGAACCAAAATGTACACACAATGGGGTATGTTGGGGTTCTAGTCAAGGGATAAAGTGAGTCTTTAGGGGTTATCGTCAATGAACCATGAATGTGGAAACTTTTTTGTCAACTTGTAGTCTAACTGAAATAAAATCAGTGTTTTATCATGTTATTATAATTCCTGTGATAAGGTGTTACCAAAAACAACAGGTTTTAAACAAAATCATTGGGGCTAATCCTCTGGGATCCATGCCTGTCTAGTCTAACTTTTTTGCCAACTTTTTGATGAAAGTAGTGCTGAATTTTGGTGGTAAAGTTATCTTTGAGCTGGTGATGCTACTGAGAAGAGAGCCTTGCAGATAAAGTAACTGGGGTTCATCCTGTTGGAAGCATGTATTCCTTTACAAAACTTCAAGGTGACATTGCAGTCGTCCCATGTCACAGGCCAAAATCTTCAAACATTGATTTTGTCTTGACCTCAAAACCTGGATAAAGAAATTTAATTTGAACCCTGTGAACTTGGTCTTATAATGCTAATCAGGGAAAACATTCAATCTGGATTACATAAGGTTGTAAATCACACAGTGGGATACTGTGCAGCTCTGGGAGCGCTAAGTCTCTTAATTAACCTGATAGTCTTTATGTAGTGCCGTGTAAAGGACCCAGTGCTAAGCTGCTAAATCCACGATGGACAATGAGGCCTTTCAACCTGTTTAAACTGAATTCATGAGTGGAAAAAAGATAACTTTTTCTATTGAGACATGTCCTCTGTCTTATCTACTGTACCGGGTGACTTTGCAGGCACTTTTTGTAATCAGTCCCTCTTGTGGGTTCATCCAGTAGTTCAGTGCTGGGGTCAAACTAAAGTCAATCTGTCACTCTGCTTCTGTATCAAAAAAAAGAAGGTTGCTTTCCCTGAGTTTACTGTCTGTCGAACAAGCTCACACCGTTTGCATCTCCCCCAGTCTCTCGCTCGCATCGCTTCCATTTTTAGGACGGGTATCTTCACTCAGAAAAAGCATGTGCTGTTTTTGTGTCTTGTGAGATACAGTAGTGAGAAAAACACCATAATGACAGTGTGTACAGGAAGGCTACATAACACTACAAATGCAATAAAGACATTTTGGGTCCCATCGAGAGATGGTGAGTGAGCAAATGCCTGAGTAGCTTCAGTTCATTTAAGGACGGACAGGTGGCCAGAACAGTAAAATATCCGCAGATGTTCATTTACAAATTGTTATAGAGCCTCTGTTACATAATAAAACAGCATGGAGGTTTGCCTACTTTACTTTTTATTCATGTTCAGTGAGTTTTTCATGTGAATAGTTTCCAAATATCAATAAATAAAAATAAAAATAAAAACACCTAAAAAGAATGCATAACAAACCAAATTAACCACTTTTATAAATTAAAAAGAAATATAAACTGAATGTAATACATGCAAAAAATAAATTAAATTAAATCAAACACAAAAATGTATAAAATGTCCACAAACCACAAAAGTTTGAGACACAGACACGTCATTCCATTCATTTCACAGCTTATAGGTTGTTTTGGAGACGCTCAATGGATATTTAAGGTGCTGTGATGAATATGACGTGCACTTCCTCTTTAAAAGCGTTGCTGTGCTCAGTGTGTGGCTGACAGGAGAGTGGCGATGTGGATACACACACAGGTCTGAACTCAGAGCCGGACGGATCTGCTGCTCGGCGCGGTGGACTACTTTATATGCTCCATAGACGTAAATAGCCTATAGCTCAGCCGGCCGAGGATTTGGATTTTGACTGCCAGTGTTTCCTGTTTGACAGCTGACGGGCGGAACTTTACGCAGTGTTACAGCAGGTGAGTCTACATGGCTACACCTGAGGGACAATTCTCATCGAAACCAGTTTGTTCTGTCCTCCGGAACTCCACTTGTTGATGGAAAACATCAGGCTATCCGGGCAGTCGTTTCCACGGAATCATTCTTATGCGTAATTTGGACAAAGCCCCTGTCTGGCGGCAGGGCTGAGCAAGTTTTAAACCCTGCGAGGTTTAGTAGCAGACGGTGGTGATGTCTGGCTACCGGTAACAGCTCATCAGATCGTGTTACACACTCAGCCTGCCGCCAGGTGAGCAGCGGCATGGGGAACCAGATGGACAGGCTGTCACATTTAAGTTACGCAGAAGTTCCCACGGTGGACCCGAACGGCGTGGACACGGAAGAGGGTCCACGGATTGGTGTCTCTTACATATTTTCCAACGACGACGACGAGCTGGAGGACGGCTGCGCGGCGGATGGCACACAGAGAGACCCGAAGCAGGAAGAGAAACACTACGATCAGCGCGACGAGGTGGAGTGCGCCGTCTACAACAGAGATGAATGCATTTACGAAAAGAGCACCAAGAGTGCCAGCCTGGAGGTTTACTCTCCTGAGAATCTACTCAACAAATGTAAAGCGGGGGATCTGGTGGAGTTTGTGGCCACGGGGCAGTACCCACACTGGGCGGTTTATGTTGGGGACTTCCAGGTGGTGCACCTGCACAGAGCCGAGGTGAAAAACAGCTTTCTGACGGATGCAAGTCAAGGAAGGAGATGCAGGGTTGTGAACGACTTTTACAAATTCAAAGCTCTGGGTGCGGACATGGTGGTGCAGAACGCGATGGAGCAGGTGGGCTTAAAGGACCGAGAGCTGAGCTGGAGGAACTCTGAGTGCTTTGCAGCCTGGTGTATGTTCGGTAGGAGGGAGTTCAAAATG